GGCCGCTTTTTACAGCCGTCCGGAACGAGAAGCGTGGACCGTGTGGACCGGCCTTCGGCTAGCCCTCGGCGTGCTGCGTGCCGCACAGTGGGCCAGAGGACCGGTGGAGGTGGCCAAAACTCTAGACGCGGTTTGAGCTCCAGAGTCACTAAGCGGGACTCGAACCGAACGTGTGACCCCATCAATGGATTCCTCGTTCGGAGAGCAATCCATTGGTGAGGTCACACGTTCGGTTGGAGTCTTGTTTAGCGACGCTGGAGTTCAAAACGCGTCTGGAGTTATGGCCGCCTCCACCGGTCTTCTGGCCCACTGCATGCCGGCGGACCCTGGAGCCCTGGAGAGGCTCCTGCAGAGCCCCGCCAGTGCCCGCGCCCCGCCAACGCCCCGGCACTAAAAATAACGGCCGTGGTTTTACTGCCGCCCATCATGTCGTCCAGTGTACAAGGCGCGCCAGGCCGAACTCCGCACGCGGCAAAGCGGCCACGCGGCCACGCCACTGGTCGGCCGGCCCACCGGCCAACACCTGCCCGGACTACGCCCCGGACTTCCCTCGACCCGTCGGGGGCGGCGCGGACGCGGCGAACGCCACCAGCCTCTCTCCTCTCTATCTCTCTCTCTCTCTCACACACACACACACACTCATTAGACGCCTTATGGGTTGTGTGTGTGGGGAGGGAGAGAGGGGCAGAGAGAGAGAGAGAGAGAGAGGAGAGAGAGAGAGAGAGAGAGCAGGGAGAGAGAGAGAGAGAGCAGAGAGAGAGAGAGAGAGAGCAGGGGAGAGAGAGAGAGAGCAAAAGAGAGAAAAGAGAGAGGAGAGAGAGAGAGAGAGAGAGAGAGAGAGCAGAGGGGAGCAGAGAGGAGAGAGAGAGAGAGAGAGAGAGAGGAGAGCAAAAAGAGAGAGAAAAGAGAGAAAACAGAGAGAAGGAGAGAGAGAGAGAGAGAGAGAGAGAGAGAGAGAGAGAGAGAGGAGACGCAGTTCTCTCAGACAGGCGAGATAAGAGAGGCGCATGCTGTTATGCAGCGGGCGTCAGCACGCAGACGCGACAGTCGGTCGATGGATTTGTCTTTTGTTTTGGTAACTTTCGATACGTTCTTCTCTCGGTTACTGTAAGTCTTGACTTCGCTTCCTCCTCTACTTTTCAGAATCGATCGACGACTCAGGTTCCATATGTTCCTCCTGTTTCGTCGGCAGAGACGAGGAGTTTTGGGGATGGGTGGTGTGGTTAGGTGGAAGAGGTTGAGGAGAGGCAACATAGAAGACGTGAGCTGAACAGAGAGGTGCGTAGAGGAAGCAGAAGAGGTAGAAGAGAGAGAGAGAGAGATGGAGTAGGGAAGAGGGACGCGGAAAATGGCGACGCGCGAACTGGATACCAGGCGTCGCAAAGTGCTACCCGCGCGAAAACAGAGTAGCGGCACACTGCAGAATGCACACGCGTGCATTGGCTGTCTCTCTCGCACGGCCAGGATGTCAGCGGTCTGCCACGAGGACCGTCCGCAAGGCGCTCATATGACATCTTACACTGTTATTACCTTCTGGAAAATCCCGGAAAGTGCCTTTTGAGACACCATTGGAACTTTCCCAAGGCTTCGTTAAAAAAATGTACTTGTGAATTATTTCTTAGGGAAACTTATTCAAAATAGAAACATTGGAGGTTTGGGACTAGCCGAAAGATTTGAGGCAACTTTTTCCCCTAATAAGTTCTCCGGAGATTTCCAAGAAAGTTTTAACAGTGTGACAACCCGGACGTGACCACTACAGTGCATGAATTTGCAGCGATGGCCGAGCGACGCTGTGCTGACTGGACAAGCGTTGAGGTCTCCGTCGCTGTTCCCATGGATTCCCAGCCCGGGCCGAAAAAGTTGCACCACACTGCAGTACTGTACAGGTGCACGTCTGCACGTGGGGCCACGGCGCCACGACCCCGTAGCTATGCATCATTGTACCGTTCGTGGCTTTTGTTTCCTTTTTCCCCATCTATCGCAAGGGGCTTTCCCAATCAGTGCCCCTCCTATTCCTTTGACGTCCGTGGCATGCCACACGCCATGCCACGCCCCGCTCGACTGCGACCCTCATTTTTACACGTGATTTTGGCCGGCGCATGGCAACCGCCCCCTAGACCTAACCCTTCGGCTTCATGACCTATGAGTGTCGTTTATTTTCGCACTTTTTCTTCATTTTTCGACTCGGAACCAAGGGGGGCTGACTCCTATAATACTTCGTACACAGCCCTATAATACTTGAATAATACTATAATCCATAATACCAAAAAATGCCGCACATTTTGTGCAGTTTTTGGTTTTAAAATGAGAAAGTTGTGTAAAATTGTGGTGAACAAGCGTTCAGAGATTTCTAGACGGAACGTTAGAGTAAGAAAATGGCGCTGAGAGAAATGACTTGGTGCTGAGGCTCTTAAAGATGCGCTGTATAATAATTTGAGGCCCAGGAGCGCGAGCCGGAATCCTTGTTTTCAACTTGCTTGCGTATTTTGGAAACCTTTGGTATACGGAAAACCACTTACAACGACACAATTATCTGGATATAATATTTGGAATAATACCTATAATACTCTATAATACCTATAATATATAATACTTCGTACACGGTTCGGGAGAGTCAGCCCCCCTTGCTCGGAACCGTTTCCCCTTACACGAGCGCGATGCGGCGGGCCGTGCCGTGCAGCCTTGTATCTCGGATCATGATCCCCTCATGGCTCTCCCATGACGGTCGAAGGTCGTCTCGCCATGTTCTGCGGAGGAAATTGCTCCTTGTGTCCCACTTTGAAATGCCCCATGGCACCGAGAACGCTCTTACCCCGACGCGCAGTGGGTTAGGAAGCACAAGGCACACTGCTGATCCATGTGGAGGAGCTAGCGACGGGAGTTCCTTTCCCTGGTTCACAACGAGAAATTTGCCACCAGATGGTAAATTTTGTCACCAATCAAGAGTTAATCACGCACAAAATTGTTTCTAGTTGACAATAAAAAAATTTCATGAAATTGTCATCAATTTGTGATTAAATTGTCATCAATTTGAGATAACATTTTTATCAATTTGGGACTCAATTGTCATCGATTTGCGACTCAATTGTCATCGATTCGCGACTCAATTGCCATGCGACTCAATTGTCAGCATTACAAGGTAGGTTTACGCCAGACCGCGTCTTGTCGTAACAGGCTTCGCGATGTGTCGCTGCCTGTTTCTCCAATCCGCGCCTGGCGTACCTACCTTGGCCTGCGGCGCTAGGCTGCCTCCGGCAGACAATGCTTGTCCATCATCAGTTACTTCAGAACTGTTGCATGCTGGGGGGCTCCGCCCCCCCAGACCCCCCTTTATTCTAGATAGAGGTGCTTCATCTACAAATTACACGATCTTGACCCTTGTAACTTTTCCCAGACCCCCCTTTCATCCAGGCAGGAGAGGTCTACCGACAGAAAACTCGATTTTTCGCCGTTTTTTAGGTGTTTTTCAGCTATAAAAACTGAACCACTTGAGCTAGGATGGTGAAATTTCGCGTGTGCCGAGCCAAGAACATACCTAATAACCCTGCGAAATCTCAGCCAGATCGGCCGAGCCGTTCAGGAGGAGTAGTGTACACACACAGACAGACAGACAGACACACAGACAGACAGACAAAACTTTTCAACCGCACTGGAGTAACAGGCTTCGCTATCGCTCAGCCAATCAAGTGATATAAATGTCAGCCACGATGTTGATATGAAGTGCCAACAAAGTCTCACAGTGCAGCTCAAAGCGTGCGTCTAAAGTTTCATGTCTACCTAAACAAGCGGTTCAGCCTGCGTCGTGCGACACGCCGCAGGCATGCCGTGCACGGCAGCGCGGTCCAACACTGTGGGAAAAAATCACAGTAAATCCTGTAGTGATTAGTACAGCTGTCACTGTAGTTCAGAGTACAGGATTTACTGTACTTTTTTAACAGGATCTACTGTACTTTGTACGGGATTTACTGTACCACAGGAGTGGAGTACGGAATATCCTGTACCAGGTACAGTAGACACTGTAGCCAGGCACGGTAAATCCTGTGTTCTGAACTACAGTAAATCCCGGCAAAAAAATTAACGGGATTCGCTGTGGTTTTTTCGCACAGTGAAGCAGAACTTAGCAACTTGTTGACCGAGGGCAGTTCAGGAGCCTCATCAGCGCTGTGCCTTCATGGCCGCGCCTTCGCCGTGTCAGGCAGGGAGTTTTCACGTCAGTGCATCTTCTGGTTTCGGTTGCCGCGGTTCCCGCCGTCAGCGGGTCAGCATCTACTTCAGCTCCTAGCCGCGCCGTGTCGGCATCTCGGAACGATGACAAGGGAGCCGCGCGGAAACAGGTGCAATGACAACAAATCGTCTTGCTTGGCTCAGCGGACCGCGGAATGCGATGGAATACGCGTTATTTAATCGTCTTTCTATTCTCGCCCCATCTCACACATACATACGCACACCAACACACACACACGCACACACAAACACACAGAGACACAGATGCACGCAACACACGCCTCCTGGGTCAGGCCATGATAACGCCTGGCCGACTTATATTCATCGCCCGGCCGGTCAAGGCCGCAGGACGGCTTACCCCAAGCGGACACTTTCCGTCTTGCAGCTTGCAGCGATGCAGAAACGTGGAGTTTGCCCCGAGCCACAGACGAGCCTAGCCCGGACGTTTGCCAGGGCGTATGATGCAGTGGCGTTGCTGAGCTATGAATTCACTTTGGGGTAAGATCGGTGGGCAATTCAATTTCTCACACCCCAACCACCTGACGGCTATTGAGTCCATGGACTTTTCCACGCAGCCGAAGGGCTAAATTTAGTTTCTGCCTCATCCGGTTGTACGAGCAAGGTAGGAAACTTCTCTAGTTAAAATTCTTCCTTTACCGTCGTTTGTCCGGTTCGGCGCACTCTACCCACTGTTCAGCCAAATCCAATCGCAACCTGTGGCTTCGCGTCATGCCAACATGCATCGCCATGCAAATTTGTGGACTCACTGGACTCACCTAGCAGCCAGTTGCACTCGTTGACGCTTCCACTGGTGCGGCGTTCCCTGGAGAATGTAACCGCGCCTCGCGACATTGGCCTGCAGCCGCGCTATCAGTCCAAATGAAGAGCACTTCCGGAGAACGCCGTCTCTCTCTTGGCCATGCCGGCTGGTCCATTGGAGGGACGAGGAGAGGCGGGCGCTCCCTGGACGCAGCCCACGATGTCGGTCGATGACATCTGGGAGAGAGAATCAAAGCACCTGCATGACACACACAGCATCCTCACAGCGGAAAAAAACTATACTCAAGAAAGCCTTACAAAGCATCTGCTTTGTAAGAGGCATGGAATTGCTTCACATTGGGAAGAAATGCACCGTTTTGCGAATGATCTTGTTAGGAAGCATTTCTTCGCACTAATGCCCGGTAGACTTTTTATTGTGTAATCAATTTTGACTGAGAAAAAATATAGCTGCCAGACTTGGACCTCAAATGATTACAAGGTCTGTTCAAGGATCGTCTCACCACATCACAACACTTTCACATATAGATTTTCGTCGCTCTGGCTGGACAACGGCCAACTCTAACGGCCAACTCCCAGCCGTCAAAATCAAATTCAAATTCCCTCCAAGTCCAAATCGCTGGCACCCCAGTCTCAAACGTTTCAGAAGAAAAGAGACATGCAGATTTCTCATCTTGTCACAAATGAAAAACACCTACTAAAGATCTTACGAAAACTCCAGACATTTTATTTTCAGGCGCGGAGCGCACTGTCGTAGGGCACGCGTGCAAATTTTAGGTGAAATACCGAACCGAACCATGCAGTTTAGCAACAAAAATTTCTAGCCGAGTAAGTAAATGGCGATGAGGCAACCACTTGTTAAACCCGGTGTCTATTTGAAATACGGAAATCCGAAATCTTCCCCCAGAAAGGCAAAAGCTGGTAAAATTTGGGCCTGAAATCCGGCGAAATCAAACAAAATTTCCTTTCAGAAATCTTGTACCCGAATACCAAAACAGGTCGCCCCCTCCCTCTATGAATGGTCAGCGAATAAGCTCGCAAGCTGTTCGCTACCAGTTTTAAGAAACCGAAATACTGAAAAATAATTGTTGAAAAGTGCTATACTCACAGAGGACCACAGAATTGATGTGGCATCAAAAGAAGAAAGAAAACCATGGCTAAGTCCAACATTGACGCATAAGAATTCACGACACTAGACACAAGGGGCCTACGGTTTAATTGTTATCACTATTTAGAGCTAGATGTTCGATCTCGCTTCTTTTTCTAAGATTTTCTTGTGTCACTTGCAGGGAAACGAGCACAGCGTTGCAGCCGCCATCGTGGCCGGCCAGGCGATTGGCTGTGGCCGTCGCCAACGACCGCCAATGGCGAGCCGCGCCTTATCGTCTGGCGTCACTCGTTATCGCCTCACTCCTCATGCAGTGCAATTGCATGGCCAAGGCCTCACCCTCACAGTGAAAATTTCTCTTGACACTTGATGACAATCGCAAGGCTAATTTTCCTCACAAGAGTGTCATCAAATCAGTTCGTGACGTTGTTGTCACGGACAGGAAATATAATGGAAATCTCATAAAATTGCAATGGAATTGTTCATTTGAAAGAGGTGAAAATGTCATTCCCTACTTTGTCCCTACAATTTTTTACAGAGCAGTCGACTCAACGTTGCTCAAACGTTATGCGCGAAATTTTTCAGAACTTCTTCAGAAATTTAAAGACTGCTCGCTTACGTTACGAGTTTGTTTATTGTGCCAGATGGTGAACCATTGCAAAAATGAGTGATTCTGCAGCCAGTACAGCGCTCCACGTATACACGCAAAAAGAACGCATTCCAATGCGCGCTGCCCGACGAAAGGCGCGGAAAAAAAGCTGCCTCCAGAGAGAATCGAACTCTCGACCCCCAGTTTACTAGACTGGTGCTCTAACCACTGAGCTATGGAGGCGGACAGTACCGGCAGTCCCCAAATAAACGTGTGGTTCTTTGTGAGAGTGGGGGCCCGCGCGGAAAGGAGGTCGTGGCTCCCGGCTGGGCCCGCGCGGGGAGGTGCGGGGAGGGGAAGGCCCGAGGAAGGGAGGGGGGAGGGGACCGGCAAGGCGGGCCGCGCGGCAGAGGGGAGGGGACTCCGTTACCTACGCACATCTGATGTGCGTTTTGTGATCGCAAAACTAAATATTCAAAGATTTCAAACAGGTGAAGAATGAAATCAGCGCAGAGTGTCTCGTTTTCCGCGATGAAAACTGCGACATTTCACATCGTTTCTCCGTGACGTTTTTTCGAATGTACGTACGTACATACACTGTATGCTCCTGCTGGATTTCCCTGCCAATTTGGCGAAAGCAGCGCTGCCGAAGCCGAGCGAAGCCGAAGCTGCCATCCCGTCGTCAGTTTATCGATGACTCGGCTAACGGCGCTGGGAAAACAAACCGCGGCCCGTTCAGACTACAATTGTTATTTACCTCTCATTAAAAGCAGGAAAAGTGCGACCGCGGGCTGGCGGCCGTGGCGTGCCGTGGCGTGCCTTGCCGGCGGGAAGGGTTGCCTTGTTTGAGCACGCCAGCCAATGCCAGCGCAGGCAGCCCTGACGCCCAAATGAGCACCCGCGGTTAAAAGCCGCGATCAAACACCCCGCCGGGGTTAGGGGTTGCTTCCGGGCTAGTTCGCGTAGAAGCCAGCAAGAAAAGGCTATGTTACTGCCCTCGGCCCGGGCTAAAGCTCTGCTGTATTCGATGCAGTGGCGGATCCAGAGTCGGCCTAAATGGAGGGAGGGGGCAAAGTAGAGCACTTTTTGCCTACTTACAGGGGCAAAGTGTTGCGTTTTGCCTACTTTTCAGGCGACTCTCTAGGGGTCAAGGAAGGGGGCAATTGTCCTCCCCCCCCCTGGATCCGCGCTTGGCTCTATGCTGTATAAGGTTTGCGCAGTGGGGCAGTGGCGGATCCAGAGACGGCCTTTGGGACGGGTAGGGGGCGAAGTAGCACTTTCTGCCTACTCAGAGGAGCAGAGAGGAGCACAACCTCCCGGCACCCGCGCCTCGGGTTCGCGGGGGCAGTGCACTAAACCTCCACGGCACGTCACATCCGCACCGCCAAATTGTGCTGTCCTGGGCGCAAACAATAACCCGGGCGTTCCTCTCTCTCTCTCTCTCTCTCTCTCTCTCTCTCTCTCTCTCTCTCTCTCTCTCTCTCTCTCTCTCTCTCTCTCTCTCTCTCTCTCTCTCTCTCTCTGCCTCTCTCTGTCTGCCTCTCTCTGTTTCTCTCTCTCTCTGCCTCTACCTCTCCCCCCCCCCTCTCTCTCTCTCTTCTTTCTTTCTATGTTTGCCGGCGCCTCTGCTGGCCAGCGGCCTACATTTAGCACGTGAGCAACATATCGCCGCAAAACACACACACTGACGCTGCGCACCTTGTGGGCCCTGTGTTTGCCGCTATCATGCCCGACTGCCACAATCGAATCAAGCTGCTACGTCGCTCTAGCTTTCTCTCTCTCTCGCTCTCTCTCTCTCTCTCTCTCTCTCTCTCTCTCTCTCTCTCTCTCTCTCTCTCGCACCCCCTATGGAATGCCCTACGAGTGTGGAAGGTGGAAGAGACCCGTCAACAAAATCACCCTTCGGGAAACTTTTTAAAGAATTATTAACCAATCTACGTAAACCAGCAACCCCCTTGCAATTACTGGCCTGAGAGATTGGCTATTTTGGACAGTGTGGTTGGCGGCGCGCCGTGGCGGTGGAGCAGGTCGCAGCAGCTGGGCCAAGCTGCGCACCGCGGCGCCGCCGCCGGACGACGTGGCCGGGAAGGCCAGCGCGGCGCGCGGTCGTCGTGCAACGTGCACGGCGCGGACGGCCTGACTAGAAATCAGTTTCCCTCTGGGAGCGTAGGTTCGAGTCCTACCGACTGCGTCAATTTTTTCTGGCCTCTCGGTGGTTAAGACGCAACAACCATTCAGGACCATGACGACGGTTCGAAGTTAAAAAGTTCAAATGACCAAATTGGGAAGCTTGTTTTTCTTGACAGTGTACGCGTGGGCCTCCCTACTCATACTCGGCCTCTGCACAGAAGTGGAGACAATGCACGTTGATTGCGAACGCCGCCGCCGCCGCCCCGAGTCGGCCCGACCGCCACCACGGCACCAGCCCCACGTTTTGTGCCCCGCGCCCCCACGCCCCACACTGTGGGCCTCACACGATCGATTTCGCAATCTCAACAAATTAAACATTTTTCCCTCGGACGAAAATTATCCCCTACCAGCGAGCACCGGACCAAACGGAAGGATGACGGGTTGGTACGCTGTCAAAACAGCTGGCGAGCAATTCAGTGCGAGAAAATCTAAGGTGAAAGATTAAACGCATCTCGTCCAAAAAGTGGCCCATGGGGGGATCGAACCCACGACCTTCGCGTTATTAGCACGACGCTCTAACCAACTGAGCTAATGGGCCAGGCGAGGAGCAGAGCCGCAAGAAGGACAAGACCCCCTCCCTCCGGCGATCCCGTTCCTCCCCACCCCACCAGCGATTCGGGACGCGCGGCGCACGCGGCGATGTGGAGGGGGAGCGGCACCACAAGGCACACGGAGTATAGTGCATTCCCCTCCCTGATTCCCGCCCACTGATCCCTACAGTGTTTCCAAACGTTCATCGATTGGACTCCGTGTTCTAGTGGCTGTCTCTATTGCACTCATTGGGGAAGCTTAGAAGTGAGAGAGAGAGAAAGAGCAACGGGGCGGAGGCACTGTGTGGAGTCAAGATTCAGACTGGACGGGCCTGAATCGGCAGAGGATCAATCCAGTGGCGGATCCAGAGGCGGCCTATGTGGGGGGGGGGCAAAGTCGCACTTTTTGCCTACCTTTCAGGCGGCTATCTAGGGGTTATGGGGGGGGGGCAAAAACCCCATCCCCCCTGTATCCGCGCCTGGATCAATCCTATGGTTCAGCCTATCATGTTTACGTTCATGTTGCCGCACCTATGAGACATCTCGAGGGACGCGAGTGAGTCAGAGAGAGACAGCAGCGAACTATACGAAGCAGATTCGCTCAGCTGGTTCGATTCGGAGAGGAATCGCGGGGGAGGGAACATCGATTAGATTTTCTGATAGTATACGTTTATAGGGCCTGAAATCACGATACGGTACTTGCAGACGTAGAAAGACTGGGTATTTTAGCGTGATGAAACGTAACGGGGAGTCGAACCGCAGCTCACAGCTTTTGAGAGGGAATTCCCTTCGGATCGACGCGAGAAAGGAAAGACGCCCCTCACACGTCAGATCGTCAGCACTCCCCCCGGCCAGCAGACCGAGAGTCGTTTTCGTCGCTCTGTCTCTCTCGCACTCAAGGGCGTCCCCTATACTGAAGGCGCCAGAGACAGACAGGCAGACGAAAACGACTCCCGGAATCAGCCTCCTGCCGCTTCCCGCCGCCTGGAGGCTGGATTATGGATTCTGGAGCGGAGCAGCACACACGTAATCTGCAATCGCTCTCTCTCCGCGGAATTAATGATGTTTAACTAAGCCGCTCTCGGGCGTTGCGCGTTGCAAGTCAGCGCGGCGCCACGCGGGAAAGGGCGGCAGGGCCGCGGAGGCACAGACAAAATAAAACGGCGAAGTGATTCGCGCGATTGACGGGTTTGTGGAGTCACGTCGTCGGTGATGGAGCAACGCGGAACGACGAGCAGCAGACTGAGTCGTTTTCGTCGCGCTGTCTCTCTCGCGCACGTCGGCGTGCCCCGCCGGTGCGAGAGAGACAGCGACGCGGAGGGGACGCGGTTAAGAAGGCTAAAGCGTGTAAAGGATCTAAAGGGCCGCGATGTGCAGATTTAATCTAATGGCGCGGCGCCTCATCGCGTCCAGCGGCGTAGCTAGCGGGGCGGGGGGCGCACAGTGGGCCAGAAGACCGGTGGAGGCGGACAAAACTCTAGCCGCGTGCAGAGCTCCAGAGTCGCTAATCAGGCCTCGAACCGAACGTGTGACCCCACCAATGGACTGCTCTCCGAACGAGGAATCCATTGATGGGGTCACACGTTTGGTTCCAGTCCCATTTAGCGACTCTGGAGCTCAAAACGCCTCTACAGTTTTGTCCGCCTCCACCGGTCTTCTGGCCCACTGCGGGGCGGGCCCGGCACCGCCACTGGCTGGATGTAGTTAATTAATTAGTTCCGGTCGAGGTGGCGCGTTGTACGTAATCAGTGCCGCGCCGCCACACGCCACGCACCCTCGCAGGCGGGCTGCCTCCGAACGGCGGCCTCGCCGGCCCGTCTCTCTCCCACCCCTTCGAGACGGCCCGTGAGTGCGAGAGAGACAGGACGAAGCCACTGTAGGGAGTCAGCCGCCGCGAGCAACCAACCCTCCACGCCGGGCCGCTGGCGGCCGCTGGGCCCCGCGCATCCAGCGCATCCCTCATCTCATCCGACCAAAAGTCACTCCGCCACCGAGTGGGCGTTGGCATGCAAAGGACGGAAACGGCAAAATTCAAGGCCGGAACAACGATTTTAATTTTGAAAAATAAACAGTAAAGATAAACGGTGTCTTTGCAACGGTCTAGATTTCGGAGACGAGGGGGTGGGAGGGGGCGGGCTGATTTACCATCGTAACTCAGCGAGTAGGGTTGGATGCCGGGGGCCCACTGGCAGAGCTGGCAGCCCCTGCCTCCCACCCCCGGTCCAGTATCCAGCCAAGCCTGTCAACCCTGTGACTTGCAGTTAATTAAAGGATGATTTAATACCATGTCGCGCTGTGGCTGCGCGGTGCTACCGCCAGCGAGCTTGCAGAGAGCCCGCACCGCGCGGCGGTCGGTCTACTGATTCCGAGATCCGTTTTCGTCGCTCTGTCTCTCTCGCACTAACGGGGCGTGCAGTACAGGTGCGAGAGAGACAGAGCGACGAAAACGACTCTCGGAATCAGTCTGCTGCTGCACGGCCCCTACACTTGTATCAATGCGATGGAGGCTGCTCGGTCAAGGCGCGTAGTGGGTTCGGTTCGCCATTGTCCTACTGTGCCAGTTGGATCAGAAATGAGCACGAGCCTGGTCGTGCAAGATTTGCATCCTCCCCTTTCCTCTCGCAACGGATAAAAACCTCACCAGCAACTCGGATGCCCATGCCGAAGTAACTCACTTACCGAACAGCGGCTCCAGCTCCCACGATGTGTGTCAGGTGTGACAGGTGTGACAGGTGTGACGAGTCCCCAAGCTGACCAAGCCACAGCCGCCGTCAGTTTTCTCGCATTAGTAACAAACAAACAGTATTCTTCGCCAGCGTGCAATCTAACGTAACGACCGATCAGCTGACGAACGATGAACCACTCAAATACCCACCGCCCTCCATGCACCGGCCGCCAAGTACCGTTCACCGTTCATGTTTCGCGCCAAACATTGGAAGGCGGTGACGCGTCTTCTGCTTCCAGTGTCGCAGTGTCAACAACAACATAACCTAATCGTGGTCCTTGACAGCAGATAGATACCGAAAAAAAAAGTTTTGTCGCGTGACTCGCAAGTCAGTGATAAACCTTGGTGCCTGTTGCCTGCATAAAATATTATGGCGTCGCTGCTACCTGACTCGGACAGCGAAGACGAGCTGCCGCCGGGATGGGAAGAGAGGGCCACTGTGGATGGTTGTGTCTATTATGTCAAGTGAGTGGACCGGGGGCGTTTCCCCATCAATTGCTTCATTTTACCGATGACTTTTGCGTAACTTGCTATTCCATCGAATTTGACATCCTAATTTTCAAGCTTAATTTAATACCTTCGTTGTGTGTTTCGATACAGTCATTCAACGAAGGGATCGCAGTGGACCCACCCAAGAACCGGAAAGAAAAAAGTTGTGTCTGGAGGTGAGTTGTTACCTAATATTAGTATGTCCTCTTTTCTTACCTGTACAATTTACCATGAGTCTGTTTAATTTGGTCCCCAGAAATGCCGTTTGGTTGGGAAAAGTGTGTTGATGAGGAGAACAAGATATATTACCAAAATAAGGAAAACAACCGGATTACGTACACAGACCCCAGACTAGCCTTTGCTATTGAGGAAAAGGAGCATCCAGGAGATTTCCGCCAAAGGTTTGATGGATCCAGTACAGCACTTCAAGTATTGCATGGGCGTGACTTAAGCGGAAGAGTTGCTATAGTCACTGGAGCAAACACTGGCATTGGTATGCAAAAACTTAATACAAAATACTGATATCTACATTCTTTACATTATTTTTTGAAATTAATTTCTCTGTTTACAATTCAGGCTTTGAAACAGCCCGATCTTTGGCACTTCATGGCTGTACTGTTATATTTGCATGCCGTGACTTTTCACGAGCTGAGGAAGCGATAGCCAAAATTTTCAGTGAGCGCTCCAACACAAAATGCGAGTTCATCCAATTAGATTTGCAATCTCTGAAGTCTGTCAGAAATTTTGCCATCACTTTCCAGCAAAGATTCAGGTTGCTGTCCTTAAATTTTTTACCTGACTCCACATGAATTTTCAAAAATCAATTTACTCCTTTTTTTTTTCTACTAGGAAACTGGATATGCTTATACTGAATGCAGGAGTATTTGCTGTGCCATTTTCTCTCACACCTGATGGCTTTGAGTCTGCCTTCCAAGTTAACCACCTAAGCCACTTTTATTTAACTTTACTTCTCAAACCCCAGTTGGCACAAGCCAAACCAGCTCGAGTTGTTGTCCTCTCTTCTGAAAGTCACAGGTTATTCATTTTCGTCTATTGTGGCCATTGACAGTATTCCTTATAAAATGCAACTTATCTCCAATTAATTTTTTCCCCTTTTTTCTTGCAGGTTTTCCTTTTTGAACCTGGATTCTTTGACAGAATTAAACCTATCCCCAAACAATGGCTCAGGATATTTTGGGACAGTAGTGTATAATAATACTAAACTATGCAATGTTCTGTTTGCTAAGGAGTTGTCAGAACGTTGGGTGAAAGATGATATTCAGGTGTTCTCTGTTCATCCTGGAAACATGATTTACACAGACCTTCCTCGATATTGGTGGCTGTATCGCGTTTTATTTGCTTTAGTTAGGCCCTTCACCAAGTCTCTTGTGAGTTTGAATTTCACTACTACATTAGGATGTAATGATAATTTCTCTCTGATTGCTTTGTTTCATATTGTCTGCATTTCCTCCACAGCAACAAGGAGCAAGCACCAGTGTCTACTGTGCAACTGCTCATGAACTTGCTGGCTGTACAGGTTTGTATTTTAACAACTGTTGCCGTTGCACACCGAGCAAACCAAGTCAAGATCCAGAAATGGCCAATCAGCTGTGGACTCTAAGCATCGATATGATAAAGAGAGTCATGGGTGAGGATGCAATCCTAAGCAAATCACAAGGTTAAAATATTTTAAACTTTATTTTTGTATTCAATATTTTGTACAAAAATTGCACATCATTGGAGGTAGGGTTAAAAATAAATGGATGTTTGATGAAAATCAGCTGTACAAAACAATGATTCTAGTTTAATACAATGTAAAAAGCACAGCAAGCAAGGACTAGTCAACAAAAATATCATGAAACATCTAAGGAACATTGAAGTGGATTGAGGCCATAACAGTAAATACTAATGCTGACAAAGTACGGTGACAAAAAATAGATACAATAAAAGTAGATCATGACATCACTGGTAAAGAAGAATTCTGTGGGACAGTTTAGTTTACCATTGGGACAAGTAACTATCCTCAAGAGTGGGATAGACCTTAACATCAACACCCAACCTGAAAAAGATAAAGCACCAGGTCAGAAAACAATTCGAGGGGTCCTATTCAAAAGATCTTATCTGGGCGTTCCCCCCAAGACAATCTTATCTTAAACGCCTGCAAATTTCACTCATTTTGATCAGTCAGAATAAATACGACGGTAAGCGAAACGTATTTCTACATGCACTTTTGGTTTCTTTGATCTTCTATCTTAAGATTTATTTGAACATACTCACAAATTATATTGATATGTAGGTGTATCAATTGATCAAACTATGTGAAATTCAACGGCGTTTAAGATAAGATTGTCTTGGGGGGAACGCCCAGATGAGATCTTTTGAATAGGACCCCTCGAATTACCCATACTACCACCAATACTCATCAACTCATGACATAATCAGTGAGGATACTTACTCCTTGAATTCTGCAGCAACTTCAACAGCTTTAGAGGTGTGAACAACAACAGTCAAGCGGCTGTTCTCAGACTTGAAAAGAGCAGGAACATACTTGGGTGCAACACGAGCCATATCCTCTGCAGTTACTGAAGCAATTTGTTTGACCAGGTTGCTGATAGAGGAAAGGGCAGACATAAGATAAGTTAAAATAGAATTGGCAAATAATAATTTTAAAAATTCGCAGTGACATTACCTGTTATAATACTGGTCTACACCCTTGAAGTACCACAAAATTGACTGGCCAACTAAGTGTCCCACACTTCTTTCCTGGTGAATGATTTCAAAAATCAGGGAGCTCCGAGCTGATTCAAGCAGAGTTCCTTCAAATGTACTGGCATCCTTCAGGTGCCCTTCCTGCCAAATTAACACACATAAGACCAACAATCATAGCCAAAACCATTACAATTTTCCAGTTTCAGACAACTGACCAAAATGTTTCGAGCTTCCTTGTATGCAGCAACAACATTGGTAGCTCTGTACAAGACCAAATAAAGCAATCCTTCATGGGTACTAGGGAACACACTGTAACTGTAAGACAGACCTTGTCCTCTAATTTGCTTCCACATTGGTCCCTAGAAACACAAGCAAACATTAAGAAAAGACACAAAGACAATAGGGAAGGCGACTGCAGACGTTCGCCGCTAGGGGCGCCACTGGGATATACGCCACTAGCAGCCAGGCGGCAGCCGGCACGGATGCTGTTTTTGACTTATAGATCTCACTGCAATTATCGCACATGTATGAAAACTAGCTTATTGGGAAGCTAGCAGCGTTGCCTACAATCGGCTCGCTTACACTACGGGTCTATCTTGCATGACAAAGAAGTTATGGGCGAAATTGGCAGACTCCTAGGGGCTCCCCTGGCTAAATCGTGGCGCGTATCCCGGTGCTGCCCTCTACCATGAGCTTGCCGTGTCGCCTTCCTCATATCCTCAGGAATGGCAAAAAATAAAAATATTCTCAGGAGTGCATAAAAACAAAACAAAAAACACCTCAAGTTGAGACAGGTACTGAAGGTACACTAAAAGGGGAGCCAGATCTTCATCCATTGGGCTTTTGATGCATGGAATGCTCTGAACCAAAAATGCTGACTCAATGCAACCCATACCAACTGCACAACTTGGGTTTGGAGAATCTCCAGGAGGGCACACCAATGTCCAGTCTGGAGTTACATTCAACCTACAAGAGTAAAATAGGATCTCATGAGCAAGATGCAATAAAACAGTGAAGACCAGATAGAAACCTTTAAATGAAAGTTAAGTGCCACATACTTTTGAACAACAGATTTGATATCACTTGGGAGTAAACCAGACAGAACATCAACTGGAGTATCAGGTTTCAAGTGAGAAGGCAGTTCATCTAGATTTGATGCAATGTGCAGCACAAGGTTTTTGGGAGCTGTGATTATTTGACGAACTTTTTCCAAATCAGCCATCACAACTTTAGCATCATCAGGATTCCCCAACTTCTCAATTAAAGTTGTGAGGAATTTCTGCTGCCTCAGAACACTTGCTGCATAGTGGTTACTCTCTGAGGCAATAAAAATTCCATTGTTAGTTGTAAATCTGATTTTTTTTTATGGACGTACAATGGTAAAAGTAGCCTACCTTTAACAAATCTGATTCCCTTCATAAGTGCTGATGACATTTTCGAGCCATTGCGTTTCAAGCGAGCAACATCATTAACAAGCTTGGTAGCAATTGTTTTGATTCGGTCAGCATCCAAAACAGTTTTGTACAAAAGTTTGTTGAGCCATTGTATTGCTTTTTTGAACTTGGCTGGTTCACACTGAAAAGAAAATTCCAAACATTTTACAACATGTATCATTTAAAATTCTGTAGTCTCACAGAATTTTATGTATCATGTACCTGAATTGACATGAATGCAGTGGCACTGTAAGATCCACAAACAAAGCGAGATCCGCCAGACACTCCAATTGCTGCACTTGTGGAAACTGTATCCCTTTCAAGCTCTGATACCACATCTTCATATGAGATTAGCTTTCCATCTTCATTAATGGGAAGTTCCATGAAAGCTTCAATAAGCAGCGTAAGGTATGGCCGGAGCTCTGGGGTGAGACTAACTGAATCCATCAAAAGGTAAATCTGTAAAATAAATCATCTTATCACATATTGAACATCAGACCCTAACTCCCAAACAAAATACTTGCCATTCCGTTAGTACACTTACATAAATGAAGTTTGTGTGGACATGGTCGGCTTGTGTAAATACAGGTACTTTATCCAGAGGGAGATTAGGGTGCTGCTTTGGAGAATCACTGGAGAAACGCTCAATGGGATGGAAGTTGATAGAGGATGCATCAGGGATTGCAACACTTCGGAGCATAGCTTCAGGGGGTGGTAGCTGAGGAAAAATCAAGAGAGGCATTTTCAAAGAAATGTTTGGACAATTATTAAGGCTTGTCCCGCAAAAAAATTACCTCATTGTGGGCAATGGCATCCTCTAGGTCTTTTTCACATTTTTTCAGACCTTCAGGTCCTAGATCTTTCCTCTGCTTCTCAATACGCTTTTCTTCTTCATCTGATAAACGCTGTCGTTCAACCTGGCTAGGCCTGCCTCGGATTGTGGCACTCTTGTTCTTCAGAAGATACTGGTTCAAAAGATTAATCCAGTATGCTTCATTTTCTGTGACTAATTTGTCTAGGATTTCTAGAATATTTAGCCGTTCATGAAGCTGTGGTGAGAAAGGAAATATTAAAATAGAAGTTTACGACATAGTAATAGAGAAAGATAGCTCATGTGTTACATACATCATCCTTGCTGGTGCCATACAACATATCCGCAATAACCATAAAAGCCACAGCATCATGAGGGTTTGTTTCCAAATGGCTCAAAGTTTCTTGACGGTGCCTGTTCACCACAGTTTGCATTCTATTCATATCAATATGCTCTTCACCATCCACAAACTTTTTTAATCTTGCATCCAATTTGGATTTGATAACATTGAGCTTTTGAATCGGTACATTTGAAAATACAATATAAATCATGGCCTCCTTATTCTCAGCTAATGAAAATGAAACCTGGAAAAAATATGAAATGAAGAACATACAAAAAGTACCAAGAGTGCACACAAAGCACTATTCACACTTACATTACTAGCACAGGGATCATCATTTTCAACAAACTCTTGCTGAAGAGGGCTTGCAGATGTATCACACAAATATTTGAGCAGGAGACAGCAAGCGGTTATCCTGGGAAAAAGCAAATGGAATCTATGGCAACAAACAAGCTATTAAATTCATGAGTTTCATCTTATAAAATATGGCTTACCCATGCAAATCTGTCACAGCTGATGGTCCCCTCCACCCAACAAAGACCATGCCATTATCCTCCTCATCACAAGAGTAGACTATTTCCTTGTCAACAGAAGCAGCAAAGTCAGGGATAGGACTCTGCCAAGGCTTCTCAAAAGCACCTCTCTCACCCTAAAAAATACATGAATATGATTTGTAAGCAATGAAATAACATTAAACACTTTAATTGCATTCATAAATTTGCAGCTTACTTTGGAAACAATTTTGCTTTCAATTGGTGCTAGAGCTGCAAAGACATCTTCTGGCTTCACTTGACCAGCAATGATGAGTGTCAAGTTTTCTGGGCGGTAATACTTCTTGTGATAGTTGCGAACCTGTTAAAACGAAATTCATTGAATCATTTGGTATCATCACAGAAAGATGGACTTATTTTCAAACAGTGAAATGCTTACCTTAACATTGCTGCAAGTTTCTCTCAGATTTTTCATTATTCCACCCTCATCATACCTGTAACTACATGGCTCAGGGTACATAGCTCTCTTCATCTCAATGTAAGATAGTGATTCACCAGAGTTTTCTCGGCCTTGCATTTCACAGTAGACAACACCTGCATCTTCACCTTTGCCAGTCACGTGATGGACTTCAGTGACAAAGCCGGAATCCTAGAGAAAAGAAAACAAGAAAATGCTATTGATTAGACAAAATTTCCACAGAAATTAATTTAAGATCACAGTGATGATAGACTTACATTCAGTAAAGGGTAAAGAATATGATCCACATAAATGGGCATCAAAGTAAGGAATCCTTCACTGCCAGCAGTCATCATTGTATAGCATGTATGATCAGTATCTGGTTGTAGCAAACAATGGAAAAGAATAATTAGTCAAACCTTCATTATGCTTGAACACTGAAAATCTCCGACAAACTAATACCTGTCCACGCATTTGTTCCTGAAGCAAGGCATCGGTTGGCCAAAAGATCCAAAACACCCTTGTAAGGATACTGCTCACTGCCCAGGAAGATGAGATGTTCCAGTGTGTGCGGCAATCCATCATCATCAGGTGCCTCCGTAGCTGCAAGTAACATGTACGTAGTGAAATTACAATCAAACGTTTCCTTAATTTTCAGCTTATCATATTTAACATATGTTGAGTTGTTGTTTGTGTCAAAATGAAACCTTAGAAAGATTTGTTCATAATACAAAAAACAATTCAAATTTAGATTCCACCGATCCAGGCGTTCCACCATTCTCTCTCAAAACAACGACAAGGGTCTCTGCAACGTAAACAGCCAACTTGGGCATGGACTTGGAGTTGAAAAAGCATGCTCGGGTGGAGATGGCAATACCGTCGGACTACGTAGATGCAAGGGAATGACTAAAAGGCCAACGGACATGGGCAAAGACAGACAAAGGACCGTCTTGAGGTCCATTGGATGCGCTGCCGGCAGATGCCCAGCCGGCAACAATGAAACGCAGCTGTCCGGAGCCAACCAACGTGTGGGCAGTCCCCGAGTCGGCGCGAAGTGGGAACTGCGCCGGACACTACGAGGCACAAAAGCCCATCGATTTGATGACAGAAAAGCTCCATTCATTCCCTTACCAACAGTGAAGTAACCCTTCACAACCGGACCCTCGACGCTGGCTATGACCACAGTCAACCCCGTGCGGGGTGAGCGGTACTTGCTCACGGGTATCAAGTTGTTGCATTTCAGTGAACATAGCAGCTCGAAATTATTCTCGACGGGCTGAATGGATGAGCTGTCAAGGGGCGCCATTTCGCCTTCAACACTTGGACGTAATTGACTTGATGGACTTGATGACGGTTGATGATCTTCACCAATGGAGGCAATCAAGCAGTAGAAAGGGTGGAGGGGAGGAGTGGTGGGGAGGGACGGTGCGAAAATGACCAACCGCGTATGACAAATTCAACACCAAGAAAACGTTTCTTAATTTTGTCCATTTTTACTGGCCATCAAGAGAATGATTACTAATGAATGTCACTAGCTGAAACATAAACTGCCTATCGCCCTCAGGAATTTTCATTTAAATGTCTTCAATATTCGTCAGTTAAAGCATAGAAAATAAAAATGGCTGATGTTGGCACTGATATGCAAAATTCATCGATCCTTTTCAGTCTTCTTGTTTTGTTGCACATATCACCTTTCAAAATGGCAGTGAATGCCATTTTCCCACATCTTTCAATGATTGAATATTTTAATGCGTAGCTCTGCCCACTCTAACTACGATTGAACATTTCGAACAATATGAAAAATGCTCCAATTCTGGAAAAAATCGGGTGAGTGAAGTAACTGTCAGTGCCAACTGGGTTCTGTCATTGAAACCTAAATAACACTAGAACATAACCCCCTGCTTATGATCGTGTCACTTGTCAAACTCCTTCAGAAATAATGGAGCAGAACCCTGGCAGTTACATCTGATTAAAGCCTCGTGGTGTCAGCTTTTAATTTTTACCAATTTTACCCTTAGAACTCGTTAAAAATGAGAAGGATGACGCCTATCTGACACTCTTTATTGTTATCTGTTTACTGAATTATCACCTGTCAAATCATACTCTTCATTTCTTATTTCACCTCAACTGAAATGTTTCAGGATCTAAAGAGACTTCCAAATCAAATCCACCGTCCCCTGTGAGGTCCCCGTGCTCCCTGGACAGCCCCACTCAAATCAATGGTGATACAGGTGTGCCCAATGGGTTGGGCACATCCCTATCTCTTTTGGAAGATGATGAGCCAAACCAAACAGGTGCGTTTGTTGAAAATTTTTTACCGCCTCTATTCTTAAAAGAGCTAACTCAAAATTATCGTGTTGTTCTAAATGTCATTTGCAGAAGACTTGGAACGATTACAACAATCTCGATCTCGATTGTCAATGTCATTAGCAGAAGTTATTGCTGACAAGGGTGCTCTAGGATATTTTATTCAGTATTTAGAGGCTCGTTCTGTTGGTGGGCTGATTCGTTTTTATTTGGATGTTGAGTGTTTCCGCTCTGCGGCTCATGAGGATGCTAGGACATCACAAACTAACCAGCACCAATTGAACTCTAGCAATGAGCACAGAAGCAATGCAGGTTCCGGCTGTGACAGTTTGAACTCATCCTCATTCCTCAATGAAACAGAAGATGAAAACTCAGCAAAAGCCAAAGAAAATGTTTTGCAGGCAAATAGTAATGTTTATGGTTGTGCCTCTGTGCATAGTGATGCTGTGAGAATATTTGAAAAGTATTTGGGCTTGAACGCTCCATTACCTGTACCTATTGAAGAAGACATCAGAAATTCTGTTGCCCTGGCTCTCTGTCGTCAAGGCTTTTTAGATCCAGACTGTTTTAGCTCAGCTCAAATTGTATGTTATGAAATAATGGAGGAAGAGTAAGTTAATCATCATTCATTTTTATTTTTCCTTTTTAAAATTTCTCACATTAATAGACATTTTTTTCTCTCCACTATGATTAGCTATTTTAATGAATTCTTGAGGAGTGACTTTTATTGTAAACATCAAATTGATGTATTAACTAGTGGTGATGTTGGTCTGATGGATATTCTTTTCAACCAAACATCTCTGTTTTATTTTATGGAGGTTAGTAGAACACTACTATCATGTTCTTGATATCTTACAAATTTCTGTAACATGTATCTCCTTGTATTTTTATTTTATTCAGTTTATGGAACAAGAGGGCCCAAGAGCGTTACTAGAATTTTGGTTAGCAGCTCATAACTTTTCCAGTCAGTTAGAAGGGGAGGGCTCCTCAAAAAATATTGAGCAAGCTCAAAGTGATGCCATAGTCCTTTATGAAAAGTGAGTACACCATTTTGTACCCTAACTTATGTGTACCATTCTCATACATTTGATTGCCTGTCCAATTCTATTGCCATGCCCTTTAGAAAATTTGTAATGCCTTATTTCTTGCAGATACTTTTCTCTTCAAGCAACATGTCCCCTAGGTTTTAGTGATAAAATCAGAGTAGAAATTGAACATAATATTTGTTGTGAAGATGGACCTCCACCTGATTGTTTCAGCAAGCCACTGAGAATTGTATTAAGATTTCTCAACAAGGTAAATTTTTTGACTTGACTACATTTATTTTTTTACAATAAGCTTCTACGATCATAGGAAGCTCAATTTTGTTGGTGTTCTATTGCAGAACTACCTTAGGCCGTTTTTAGAGTCACAGCTTTACTTGAAATATCTCTCAGAACTTGTGAATACAATTCAAGCCACCAAAAATGGTAGGTTGCACTTGACTTGTGTCTAATAATGTACGTTTATATCACGAGTGTTGCCCTCATCAATGTTACTGATTCTCCATAGGTTCTGATTGCGGTAGTGATGTTGGTAGTATGCCGCCTCAGAATACAAACACATTACTTGCCGGCGGAGATTCAACTCTATCCCGAAAGCTTTTAAGAAATATGGAACAACAAAACCTTAGCATCGACTCTAGACAATTGTATGACCCAGATTCTCTTTGGAGAAGAAGGCATCACAGGTAATCTGTCTCTAAGCACATTTATTGGTTGTTGATTGATTTTCTTATCTTGGGTCTTACTTTTATTTGTTAATGGTTGCAGTGGTTTAAGTTTTGGCCGAATTAATGAGCTAGGCAGATTTGAAACGGAAGTTGAACCAGAACCTGATAAGAAAAGTGGTGAGTAACTTGTATTTGTCTTATCTTGTACAGTTTCTTTTATTTAACTTGTACATTCATTATGGTACCTTTCAATGTGTTTGAATATGTTGCAGAATCTCGAATAACTCGGGCTATGAAAAAGTTAGTGCACTTGGATGAAGATAAGGTACGTTCATAAATTGATCTTCATTGACTGCTTCATAGCATCAAAAGTCCGATTGATGTAATTTTTCTTTGACTTACAGGCTAAAGAAGAAATGGCTTGGCAGATTGCTGAAATGATTGTAAAGGATGTAACAAGTCTTACCTTACAAGAAGATCCTTCTTCATAAAGTCAGGTTCCCACGAGCATTGAAACGGAAGAGTCTTTATAATTTGCCAAATTGACAAAAAAAAAGTCAACCTAACTGCAGGATAATATGTGTATGTTATTGAGTTAAATTTATGACAATTTTATGATCTATAGTTATCTGTTATGTTATAATTTCAGAATCTATTTGCATGTGATACAAAAATGTTTTGTTTTACGCTTCTTTCTGTCTATCGCTCAAGTTTGAACCTACGCATCAAATGTTTTGATTCAAAAAGAAAAGAATAATTGAGCTTGGAGAAAAGACAAATAGAGGTCGTGACATCAAAGAGGTCACACCTTTGTAACAATCGTGATTGCAAGTACCATCTAAGACAAGAAATAGTTTTTAATGTGCAATATTACCTTGCTTGCTTCAGTAGCAATTTTTAAAACAAATTTATGTTGTTGAAGTAACTTTGAAAATGGTATTGGTGTCCTATGTCTCAACTACCTATTATGTAAATTCAAGTAACTAATTGGGCTGTGATATGATGTGCTGTCATGATGTTGCCCACTGTGATGCATTGCACATTCATCAGAAGTTAGAGTTTTTATTTAATAAGGAATTAGAACAAATTTGCTTTGGTATCTATTGACTTAAGATATCAAAGGAGGCATCTCTACTTTTGTACAATTGAAGTAATCACCAGTAGTATTTGTGAGTCTATGTATTGTACATGAATTTGTCACTTGTTCATTGTGCAATGTGAATTATATATGTTGATGTAATTGTTTACTGACTTTCCCGTTCTTTCCCCTTTCTATGTAACTATGGAGAATGCACCATAAAAACAGTGAAGGAACTGGGAAACTAAAAAGTCAATTTCACATTAATGCTAAACACAATAACCATTTTAATTTGTATAAATTTCATTAACAGTTACACTAAGAAAAAAAAACCTAACAAGGAAGAGGTAGGAAATTATTTTTGTTTGGCCTCATAGCACTTTTGCTAGAGTGACTACCATAGCAGGGATCAGCCACCACAAAGAAACAGGCAGCACTGAATAGCAAAATTATTATTGAAACATGACTGCAACAAGGTGCCCTCACTCACCCCATCGCCCACCCTTTTTCTGTCTCGAACCAAAGAAAAAATATATTTAAATAAAAATATACATATTTATATATATATCACAAGTACATTAGTAAACTGGCCGGCAGCGCCAGTTCAGGTAGAGACAAACAAGCTCTCCAGGCTCGGAACTTCAAACCACAAGTTGATGCAAACCAGTCGATCCTAGGTCAGTTGTGTAACAGACCACAACACGTTCTTTAATTGCCAGATTTTTCGAATATTCATGACTAGGATTCAAACATTGTTTAAAGAAGTTCTGATGACTGGGCAACATACTTATGGGAAAAAAGTTCAACGGCCTTAAGCGAGAAAGCAAAGTCAAAGCAGCAGGGTTAGTTTGTTTTATGGTTAACAGTTTAAACATGCAGCCTTAAATGAAAGTCTCCATTATGCAATGACACAAGACTTAAAAAATGAAATGTGACAAGAAGGATGGAGTGGGGTGAGGATGGTTCACACAAACCCTTAAACTATGCACTTATAATTATATTCCTATCTGGTACCATGAAACAAGAGATGAACAAATACAAATAGAAGGTACATCTTGCGAGTTGGGAGACATGAAATTATCACAGTGCTAATTTGAGAATGGTTATTAAAATGTCATTAGAAATATCTGTACACTGCTGTATAATATATATCTGAGACAGTATAGAAAAACAGCTTTTCCCTGTGAAATACATTTTGTGCTGAATTGATCGTCTCATAGATGAATGCCACTCCTCACAGATGAGAGAGAAACCAGGTACTTTTGCTAACATGTCAAAGGGAAATCATTGACATTTAGGGGGTACGCATTGCACTACTCAGCTCAATTCACAAATCCATCGAAAGTCAGAGCACGAGTTCCCCCATACATATAACAAATCAGAAAGGATTCAGTCACAGACTCAAATACCGCAGAAAACTAAAAAAAATTGTTGTGTTCTTTGTACCAAGATAAGAATTCTGACAGGTAGTAGTACAAGTTGGAAAGCGAGGGAGGGAGGGAGGGAAAGGGTGGGCCTGAAATTAAAAACATAGTCCTCTTAATTTTGTTTCTTTATGCACTCTGCATTTCATTCAACCAGAAACTCAACAAATAAAAATAAGGGATTAATCCAGATTAATCAAACCATATTCCCAAACACATTGAAACATAATGTTACAAATGTTCACTTAGCAAGGGATTTCATGTTTGGCTTTAAAGGGAGCTAATTTAGTACTTTACAAAATTCACCTGCAGTTAAAAACAGACAGGGATCAAATGGCAAGAATCACAGCACTACTGCTATTTACATAACTCACACCATCCCACTCCAAAACTACAGACAAAGCAGGAATGTTCCTTATTCATTCAGGGTGGTTTGTTTGTTCACACTCCATGTAAGGTACCTGAAATATATTTTTTTAAAATTCTTTATCATCACAATGAAAGCAAGAATGTCTATTACACACAAGTGAACAAAATACTTTAGAAAATAATACAAAGAAGCAAATAATTAGGACATGAAATCATATCAGCATGGAGAAACATATGGCTACACCAGGTTGATAAGTTTTACACATTATTATGATTACATTTATTATTATTATTATTATTAACATAAAAACAATGCTGATGTGTTATGAGGTGCATTTTTATGACAAACGATGATACTACAAAAAACCATTTCAATCCAATTTCCTCTGCTGTTATGGATGGCATACAGTTATACGTCACATTGTAAAGAACACATCATGGCACCACAACTCATCAAGCTCCTGCTTTGATGTATTTCTTCAGTGAAAAACATGGTTTGATGCAAAGCAAAATGAAAGAAGATTGATACAACCTCAGTAACTGTAATGAAGTAAAAGCTAGAAAACAGAAAAGCAAAAATTGTAACGCAACGGCAGCCGTTTAAACCACACCGATAAACAAATGTGTGTTATGAAAGGGAACACTCGAATATATATTTTTCTAAAACACAACAAGCAAACGAAACATAAGAAAACTTGTGCGTGTTTATGGGGTGGAAAACAGAGCATTGGATAAGAAAGAAGCGTCGCACTAACAAAATTCTTCAAAAACATCATACAAAACAAAGAGAACAATATGAGGCTTGTGTGTCAATCGGGGAGAGATTCATCAAACGAAAACAGGACTAACTAGCTATCAAAGATGGAAGGCAAGTTGCTCATGGTGCCAACGATTTGAGCTAATTATTTGTTCCATGAATTAGAAAGATAAAGCTTCTAAGTACAACCACAAAAATGAAACAAAATAGAAAAGAGAGACTAGGACTTCGTTTGGCAAAAGAAATGTGCTGAATTTGAGGTTTTAACAAAAAATATGGTCTTGGGGATAAATTGTGCCAGGTTTAACAAAGAAAATTTATGTGCCTGATTGGTCAGTTCACCCAAGAGTAGAAAATTACCTCTTTGACAGTGTGCACACATCTTAAAAGTACCACATTTGGCAACTTTTGGCAACATTTATGTAACATCTAATGACATATAACCAGTCTCACAATTACTGTCATGTGCATAGAAACCATTAAAATCATCAGTGAGATTCATTATCTTTTGCAGTTTATAATCCAAGTGAAAGATCAATCTTCCACAATATTTTTAAGGTCAAACACATCTGTCTACAAAAACATTTTAAAAACAACTATCCATGGCTGGTCACAACGAATAGTTTATTAACAGTTAGCTTTTAGCACGTTTACCTTTTTTATTTTTTTATTCGACTTTCTAAACAATGTGAACACATGGCAGCACCACATTCCACTGCTTATTTTTCTTCATATAACGAAATAACGAGCATAATGCTAGGTCACACCAGTTCTATAAAGTCAAATGCAAGTTAATTCCAAACATAATCACATGATTCATCAAACTCAGACATGGGAAGAGGAGTTTAAAATATACATGAAAAGAAAAGAAGGAAAGGTAAAAAGATGAAAGAAAATGGACAGAAATTGATAAAAGCTCTTCCCTTATCTCTGCTCAACATTTGAGCATGCTCTAAACTTTTTGATTAACTGACTGATATAAAATCTCGTGTTTGCTTCAGAATATCACAGTCAAATAGGCAAACGAAACTTCAGATGGACTGTTCAGATTCACCTGAAATGAAATCATTGGAAGTAAATTCTTCCCTCCTTCTCTGTCAAGCATATTTGATGTGTTAACCTCAGCAAGTTCATAACTATACTTATGATATAAAGCACCTCAATCACTGGGCACTACAGTTGATACTGCTATTGCATTTCAACAGGTGAACATAAAATATTAAAGAACTAGAAATTTAACACTAGAATTTAAAATGGAAATGTAATCAAGAATGGCATTGTTATAAAAATGAAGTAATATACTGTAGCTGCAAAATCATTAGTGGGGGATAAGGACAGGTACATCTCAAGTATAGGACTACACACCTATGTAATATCTACAATACTCTCACTTGTCACAAATTGTTTGTGGCACTTTGCTGTACCTGAGGAACAGGTAGAGACTTTTGCTCAGAGGTGAATCAGATGGGCAATTCCCTTCTTGGAGGGCAACTTTTAAAAAATTGACTGTCAATTCAGATTTAACTGCAGTAGTCTGGATTTCTTCTGAATATTTCACAGAGGTATGCTACACATGGGGAAATAACATTAATATACAAGGTACAAACTCAGAGCAACTGCTTTTAAAACCTATATTGTTGCGTAGAAATCCACTGGGCTCTAGAAAATTCATTGATTTAATATAAAATGCATCAAAACATGTTATGTCTCAAGAACTGCAGAATTGAGTTATAATTTACTATACTTAGTAAAAAGTCTTTAAACTAAAGGCACCCTAATTCAGTGAGAAACCATATATATATACAAATTTATACATATATAAATATTTTATATATATGGTTCCATATTAAACAAGTTATGTATGTGATGTAATGGTTCTTGGAGAAAGATGGTAAACCATCATGCAATCTCACTCCCTCCGCTTGGCTGGATAACAACTGACACAAAGACTATACATGGCTCACTAGTGAAATTGGATCAGACACTAAAAGTAATCCCATTTTAAAATGCCCCATAAATTATGACGATCTTTATGATCAATAAAAAATTATACAACTAAAATAATAACATTAATAACAATAACATTTTAATTAACTTTTTTTAAATGGGTGGGTGGTGAAAACTCACAATACTTAGCATAATAGGATGTTAGCACCCTCTGGGAGGGCCCTCAATATTCCCTGAAAGGCGCCATACAATTCCACATGCAAAGCTGCAAAAAGCAACAGGAGACTAGGGGACACAATGTCAAAGCAGAAAATAAACGACAGAATTGTGGTTTCCAAACCCACCCCTATCTGGATGTAAAAGCCTGCACTAACAGAGACAAATGGGGGTAAGCTGCCACACACAAATTGAGACACTTTGGGACATGAGATGCAACAACAATAAATTAAGTGCCTCAAATTAAGCATGCAAATGTTGGTCATCTCATAAAGAATAAAAATTACAAACCAAAATGTGATTTAAATGGACACACCTACAAATTTTGTTGGGATAAAGAAGTAAAAGGGCTTCTTAACACAAAGTCCCCAAGACATTTTGGAAAAGGGTAACTGATTCAGAAGAAAAAAAAACGTACAGGCCTGTTACATGCAGTTATTCAAAAGCAGCAGTAAGAAAAAGGTAAGCAACTCACGAGACTAAAGGCAAAGACAGTCAGCATCCATCACAGGTCACCCTGCTGACAGAACAGCAGGAACATCTATAAAATGTATTGATGATTTAAAAATCTTTGTACGGAAGATGAGAATCTCTTTTGGTCCTCCAAAATATTTTTGTAGAATGGCTAGTCGCTGAGTCAGTGCAGCGCCAACCAAAATTTCATTTAATTAAGCACCTTTACATTTCAGCAGTCAATACCAAGTCATCACAAATGTTCACTATTGAAAAACTGAGTTGCATCTACAATCCTATAAGTACCTCACTAAAAGAAATCCAGTTACCAACATAAATCAAGCCTTATTGTTATTATCCGATTAAACTTATTACAAAAGTAAATTATGTGTACAATTTGCACTAAATCCAGCCAAGATGAAAATGAAGACCAGAAGTATTATCAGGTGCAACTGTAGATTAAAAGTTCAGGTCACGATATGAATTTGAAAGCACGAAAGTTAAATTTTCCTTCTTTTGTGAGCTATGGCATTTTATTTCGCGTGAGGGCAGAAGCATGACAGTGTGAGAGGCCACTCAAATCCCAAAGTGTTTGCCGCTTGTTTCCCAGATCAAATGGGATGTTACAGTAGTTTATTTCAAACTAGAGAGCTTTACTACGGATTACTTCATCCCAATGTCAACCCCCAGTTATTTCCACATCACTTCAGTGTTTCTGAAAGCATGGCAGCACTTCACATTCAACCCAAAAAACAGTTTAACTACAAATCTATTCTGGGAGACCATTATGTAGAGATATAAGTTTTGGGTCAAAGACTGGCATTGGAATAATCAGAGGCTTTTCCACCCTGCTCTAAATAACTGACATGGCTAAAAACAAGGGGTTTAATACCTTATTATAAAAGGTTGCCTTCTAGTTGAGGTACACTGATCCACACAAGCAACAAGGAAGCCAAATTTTTGTTTCTCACTTGTTAAAAGTGCCAAGCTTCAATCAGGAGTGCTGCAGTGGTATAACCAGAGACAGATTCCAGCTAGAGCACATACTGGGTATTTGGGTAAAATTGATTTTCAAAAATGTTTCACTATAAAAAAAATTTTGAACAAAAATCAATTTTTCAGTCATGTCATGATATGGCAGGGAATCATTGCTATCAGGTTTGAATTTAATTGGAATGGAAACAACTCAAAGAGGCAGTTGACACAGCCATGAAAAAAATCCGCAAGTAAGTTTTAAAGTTTCTAAAGCATACCGGACAGATTGGATATTAAAGGGTCACAAAGGGAATCGAGGTATTCCAAAATAGCTGGGCAACACTGCTTGTCACCTCCACAACTCCTTATTTGATTTCATGAAAAGGGACAAACAAGCAAGTAAAACCACTTTGCCAGAGGTAAATGGCACGACATCAATATGGTAAATAAATAAATTAAAAGTAAAGGCACAGTCAGGAACGTGGGAGCATATCTATAAATCCAGTAGTATTCTATATCAGCTTTCACAAGGAGACAATGTATGCTCTCCACATGTGCAACTGCTATAGCAGAAATTGATGACTTGTTCCAAATGCAGACATTCTCAACAAGGCATTTTATAACCCAACATACCACACATCATGAGAGTGCAAATAGTTGCACCCACCAACAAATATCAACATATTTTCAAAATCACAAACACAATACACATAATTTCTATACATCAATATGTGAAATTGCTTCAAAACACACAATGCTCAACAAGTTCAGGGTACTATAAATATTAAAACAAGTCACTAAAAATTTTTTAAAAAAATCCTTGACACAAACAAAAACACAGGTAGCACTGCCCAATATCTCGTTGGAAAGAACTTTGCAAGAGGTGAAGATTACACGACTAAACGAAGTACGCTTCATCAACTAAGGTGACAGTGCGGCAGTCTGGTACACTTTACTTAAGCAGATCACAGATTGGCGCACAAGACAGATGTTTGGGTTTTGCCTCTAATTGCCATTTGTGTTTCTTGATGAAATGACTGGGTTTTTGTTATTGGCTGCACCTTCTCTCTCTGTTCCATAAATTTTCCCAGCTTTCTTTGCCATGTTTCCAAGCAGTTCCAAGGAACATTTATGAGCAGATCGCAATGAAATTGCCCACTCATTCAGCCCAATCTCATCCTGAGAAAAGTAGAAACCAACAGTTACTTTCTCACAATAACAGATATAATATGAAGTGAAAGCCCTGTCCAGGCAAAACACATTGAATGAATACTTACAGGATTGGTGAGAACTATTTTGCCTTCTCTTGTGCGGACAACAATGCATTGCTCGCCTTTGACATGAACCAGGTCAGCACTTACATCCTCGATCTGATCCATAAAAACAAGTTCGGGCTTGGTGGATCCCGATTCGGGATGAAGTTCCACACGATTTGGATACAGTTTGGCATACCTTGTCTGCCAAGCTGATGCAAAAGGACCTCCCAATTTTTTTATGTATCCATGCAGGATACAATCAGACTCTATGAGACGAAAATATTGCAAAGTTACTTCCAACAAATCATTTTGGAAAATGATACAGTATTAAAGTGAAAATTAAAGAAAGACAAACCTTTTTCATCTTCGTCAAACTTGGGTTTCTGTTTGGCTTTCTTCTTTTGCTCTGACTTGTCAGCTTCCTGATTTATAGTCTCAAACACTGTCTCCGCTACTTCAGTTTGCCACCTTTCAGATATTGTCACATTGAAATGTGTGTATATCCCTTGGTCAGCCTCAGTCAACTGTTTTGTAAATGTAAAATACAATTTAGAAGTAACAACAAAATAAATATTTAAATTAAATAAGATTCAGGCTTACCCGAATTCCTTTAGTATCCTCCTCATCAAATGAACCAATGTCAAAGGCATCAGCTGCATTTACTTCCCCTCGAGGAGGTATTAGAGGAGGAGTATACTTCTGAAGATAGACTTGCTGCCAATCCATGCCCGCAAAGAAAGAGTGTTCTTTGACTTCGTCGGCTCTGAAAAGTAGAATGGCAAGTAAATACTGAATACTTTCCAAATACAGCAATACCAAAAAAATAATCGAAGATAAAAAAAATTAAGCGTACCCATACCCATTTCCTCTGCACCCTAGACGTTTGTCAATGTCCCTTTGAAGTAATCCTTCAAGAAGAGATCGTAGATCTTTTGAAAATGTTTCGGGCAATTCCACATTCTGGAATAAATGGTAGATGTGTGAATGTGGTAGAACAGTTTCACTACTGAACATATAGTGCCCTCCAATGTAAAGTATTTCGATATCTCACCATAGTTAGAGTCATTCGGTCTATTTCATGTTTGTCCTTGGTTTTGTGCTGCCGGAAGGGGCTATGACCCTTCAACAACTTATACAACATGCATCCAAAAGAAAACCAATCTGCACTGTCATCATATTGAGTGCCTTTTGAAAGAACCTCAGGAGCCATGTAACCATGGGTACCTCTGAAAAATATTGAATATTGCAAAACATATAACACAAGTTTTAAAAGGGATTAACAGAGTAGGGATTGAAAAGAGTCAATCTAAATTAACGTAAAAACTAAGAATGTAGGTAAAACCAACTTACACACTGGCATGAGGCTTTTTCTTTGTGAAGTCACAAGCTAAACCTAGATCTGATATTCTAATATGACCGTGTTCATCCAGCAATATGTTTGCTGGTTTGAGGTCACGATACACAATATGACGCCGATGCATATGTTCCAAACCTAGTGGACAAACAGGATTGGATGTTTAATTACCTTACTCCTGAAATTTAATGCACTTTGTGTGATGCAGCAGGATAATATACATACCTAATATGACCTCAGCAGCATAGAACTTCATTTCAGGTTCATTGAAAACTCCATGTTGAGAAAGATGATAGTGTAAATCTCCTCCATTCATGAGGTCTAATATAAAACAAAGCTTATCTGGTGTTTGGAAGGCATAAGTCATACACACAATAAATGGGCAATCAACCTGCACAAGATAGATAATATTAGAAACAATACATTTTAAAGTAGAACTTCCAACGAAAAACAATTCATCACATAAAGTAGGAAAGTACCCCTGTGCTGACGAGAATGAGCATGACCCGTTCATTCAGTGCAAGAGTTTCGCCCTGTTTCATTTTAATCCGCTTCTTATCCAAGCATTTCATTGCATACATTTTTCCCGTATCTGCTTTGCGGCAACCATAGACTTCACCAAATCCACCTCGTCCAATAATTCGGTGGACACTGAAGTCATTCATTGTCAAATTGATTCCTTTCTCAACATTTTTCCACTGACAAAACCTTGTATATTTGTCACTGCAAACAAGAAAACCATTTAAATCACCACATTAAATTCAAATTTCAGACCTGACCTTAGAACATTGGAATTGGACATACCTCTCTAAAAATTTGCGGAATGGCTCTCCTCGCAGATGATTAAAAATCTCTTCTATATAAGGCTGAAAGAGACAATAATATTTTCAGATAAGTTAGTAAAAAGAAAAAACAAACATTTTTTGGGGGAAAATCTTTAGATGTAAGGAAAACTTACTTCAAATAAATTAGGTGGGACTTCATTTTTTGTTAAATGTTTTTGTACATGCATAACTGCTTGTTTTGAGTAGTCCTGAAACAGGCCATATCAATAACATAGATTAATTTCTCTTGCTGCCATTATACATTTAAAAAAATAACCAAACAAAAAGTGCTTACATGTGAATGTGCTAGGAGTTCTTTCATAATAAAATTATCATATATTATACGAGCTGCGGTTCGGCGTTCTTCCGCAGTCTCCAGCTTCTCATAAGCCTTAATCTGGTTATAGAAAAAAAAAACAGAAGAAACATTAATTTTTTTTGTCAACAAATGAAAATTAACCAACGATCAAACAAACATTGAAGTCTGCAATAAGCCAGTTTCTCAACAAACCTCCTCATAAAAGCGTAACTGCGGTATAGGTTCCTCTGCAACATTCTCACAGAAGTCTTTGAAAAGCAGATAACCTGGAACAAACAAGAGACCAACGTAAAGCAACGGGCGGGAGGACGATAAACGGAAGACGCGGCGGCGCAGAGCAGCGGCCCAAAAATAAAGAAAAAGAAAACCAAAACATATTTGCCCCTCCCATTGCCAGCCACGCGCAACAAATTATTTATACCACGTGCCATGTGTGTTAAGCGCTGTACTCTCTACTGCTGCCCCGCGCCGCGCCCGCAGCCGCACACCAAATCCTTATGCACCTTCTGTACGCACGTTACGCAGTATGCTGCACATGCGTAACTGACGTACGGTAAGTGCGTCAAGATTTAGTGTGCAGCCTGCAAACGCTGCAAAGCCAAAGCCGAAGGTGAAGCCGAAGGCACGCCCCCCTGGCCGCCGTGCGGCATAGGCAACAATCCCATTGCAGCGCACTGCTGTTCGGCGGGTTGCCTATCGTCGGTTCGCAGGGGCTCCACTCGCAGGGGCACGGCAGGACACGCGGTCCGGCGGCGAGATGGGGATGCTGGGGCGAGCTTGAGGATTCATACTGAGATTCGACGGAGGGAGAGAGTGAGGGGAAGAGGAAGAGAGGGGGGGGAGAGGGGAGGGGTGCAGACAGGCAGCCGTGGCAGCGGCAGCAGCTGCACGGGCGTGGGGCGTGGGGCGTTATCCCTCCTATCCTAGCCTTCCCGAAAGCGCGCCTGAGTTTTGAGGGCAAGGCGCACCCAGGCGCCGAGAGGAAGGGAGGGGCAAGGGGCAGAGGGGAGGGGAGACGAGGTAGGAAGCAGGGGGCAAAGGGGGTATGGGGAGAACCGAGAACCCCCTGGTTGCAAGGAGTAAACACAGCAAGGGCGGCAGGGGCTCTACTCTCTACTCAGCATGTCTGAGGCGGGACGGGAGCCGGGGCGAGGCCGGGGCTACAAAGTGAGAAGGCGAGGCAGGGCGAGTTGACCTGCCCGGCCTCTGCTGAGGCCTCTGCTGCCAGGTCCCTGGTCCCTCCTCGCCATTTTTTTACCCCCCGTTTTCCTCATACACGCGCGGCTTGTGTTCCCGCCGGACATGGGAGACATAGTCAACGAAAAGCCACTCCGCCCCCGCCTCCACCACGGACTTTTTCCCTCGGAAGAGAGGTGCACGGCGGTGGCATGAAAGGGAACGCCTCGTCCCCGCCCCGCCCACCCCACCCACCCCGCCCCGCCCTTAGGCCCAAGAACACCCCCACTCATCTCCCTTAGCATCCCCGGCCAGCTCCGCCCGGCTCCATCACAGCCAGCGCGCATAATCATAAAGTTTATCTCGCGAAATACCGAAATAGAAGGAGAAGGAGAAGGAGGTCCGAGCGAAGGAGCGCCCGGCCAAGCCGTGGCCAAGCCGAGGCGTAGCCAAGGCGTAGCCAAGCCGAGGCGTAGCGGGGCCAGGAGCATAGGGCCGCCGCTCAAGGGGCCGAGGGGGGCCGAGGGGGGCCGAGGGGGGCCAGGGGGCCAGGGGGGCCAGGGGGGCCGAGGGGGGCCGAGGGGGGCCAAGGGGGGCCGAGGGGGGCCGAGGGGGGCCGAGGGGGGCCGAGGGGGGCCGAGGGGGGCCGAGGGGGGCCGAGGGGGGCCGAGGGGGGCCGAGGGGGGCCGAGGGGGGCCGAGGGGGGCCGAGGGGGGCCGAGGGGGGCCGAGGGGGGCCGAGGGGGGCCAGGGGGGCCGAGGGGGGCCGAGGGGGGCCGAGGGGGGCCGAGGGGGGCCGAGGGGGGCCGAGGGGGGCCGAGGGGGGCCGAGGGGGGCCGAGGGGGCCGAGGGGGCCGAGGGGGGCCGAGGGGAGGCCGAGGGGGCCGAGGGGGCCGAGGGGGGCCGAGGGGGGCCAGGGGGCCAGGGGGGCCGAGGGGGGCCGAGGGGGGCCGAGGGGCCGAGGGGGGCCGAGGGGGGCGCCAAGGGGGCCAAGGGAGGCCGAGGGGGGCCGAGGGGGGGGGGGCGAGGGGGGCCGAGGGAGGCCGACCCGGAGACGCCACCGTCCACCACGCCACCCGCAGGGCCCGCAGGGATCGCTTCGTCGCTGTCCCTCTCGTACTCATGGAGCGTCCCGTAGGGGTGCGAGAGAGACAGCGACGAAAACGACTCTCGGAATCAGTCTGCAGGGGGCAGTCCTCCAGGCTGCCCGGCCGGCAGGCTCATTCCGAGCAGCTCTTTTCCTCGCCCCGTCTCTCTCGCACTCATGGGGCGCCCCGTAGAGGTGCGAGCGAGACAGAGCGACGAAGCACTGTTCGAAATCGCGCAGCAGGGCACGGCGGTCGGCCGCACGGAAGACAGTCCGAGACCATCAAAGACGCATTAGAGAGAGAGAGAGAGAGAAGAGGCGAGTGGGAGAGGGGAGGAGAGAGAGAGAGAGAGAGAGAGAGAGAGAGAGAGAGATAGGGGCCACGTGGGCGAGCTTGGCGAGCACCGGGGGGCCGCACTGGCGGGCTGGCGGCGCTGACACAGTCCAGAGCCAGACGACGACGTCAAGGCCGAATCACACGCCGAGAGCACATCCCGATTGCGCAAGGCCTTTTTTCGGCCCCCGTTTTTAAAAGCGTGTCGAGTCTGCCGTGAGATTCCGAGGAGCGCCTGGTCGCTCTGTCTCTCTCGCACTCTAACGGAGAGCCCTGGCAGTGCGACAAAGACAGAGCGACGAGGCAGCCGGCCGGCCAGGAGATACCGGCGAGTGCCCGCCGCGTCTTTTTAAACCGGGGCCAAAAAACAGTGGAGATGGACAGTATCTGGCGAATGCAGGCCTCGGAGTCGGGAGTGACGTCCACAGTGTAGCGCCACAGGCAGCGCCACGGGCAGCGGACTCATTCCGAGAGTCGTTTTCGTCGCGCTGTCTCTCTCGCACCTCCTGGGACGCCCCATGAGTGCGAGGGAGACGGCATAGCACCGAGCCGACGCGGCAGGCGACGGACGGACCTACACCCTTCCCTTCCGAGGACCGGCCTGGCCGACGGCCTGGCTCGCCTGGCCTACTGCAGCCCCGCGCGCCCGGCCAGCGCGGCCAGCCGACCACGTGTTTACTCTCAGCACCAACTATAGCGAGGAAAACAAACAAGCATCGAGAGCGCGAGAGCGGCGGAGAGGCGGAGAGAGCGGCGGAGAGAGGCGGAGAGGCGGAGAGCGGCGGAGAGAGGCGGAGAGCGGCGGACGGAGAGGCGGAGAGAGGCGGAGAGCGGCGGAGAGAGGGGGAGAGAGCGGAGAGGGCGGAGAGAGCGGAGAGAGGCGGAGAGCGGCGGAGAGAGGCGGAGAGAGGCGGAGAGCGGCGGAGAGAGGCGGAGAGAGGCGGAGAGAGGCGGAGAGAGGCGGAGAGAGGCGGAGAGCGGCGGAGAGCGGCGGAGAGCGGCGGAGAGAGGCGGAGAGAGGCGGAGAGAGGCGGAGAGAGGCGGAGAGAGGCGGAGAGAGGCGGAGAGAGGCGGAGAGCGGCGGAGAGCGGCGGAGAGAGGCGGAGAGCGGCGGAGAGAGGCGGAGAGAGGCGGAGAGAGGCGGAGAGAGGCGGAGAGCGGCGGAGAGAGGCGGAGAGAGGCGGAGAGCGGCGGAGAGCGGCGGAGAGCGGGTCACAGGGAGGGGCGGGGGGTTGCGCGCGATAGCTCGAGCTACCTGAGGTAAGAGGAGACGACCCGGCTGCCTCCCACCCCCTCAATAAATTGCCTAGTCCAATCGCCGTCTTAGAATAGCCGGAGAGCTACGCACGATCGCGCGGTGTGCATTTCACCCACTTTTCGCATTTTTTCCCCGTTCTGTTTCGCAGCTGTTTTTTTTTGCCAGTGTACGGTGAATGAACGGGCCGGGCTGGCTCGGTGCTGGCCGACAAGCGTCCCCCGGTGCCGTGTCCGCCGTGTCCGCGCGAGCAGCAGACCGATTCCGAGAGTCTCTCTCTTGCACACCGGCCCCGTGAGTGCGACAGAGACAGAGCGACGAAAACGACTCTCGGAATCGGTCTGCGGCGAGCATCGGCAGCCCGCATCGCATGTCATGCCGGTGTAAAGGTGTAACGGGGGCGCGGCAAGTAGAGGCAGCGATGGCAGCGATGACGTAGAGGCAACTATTTTTATGGATTCGGACCCAGAGAGAGCGTCGCGCCAAAACGCGTGCCGCGTCCCATATAGAACAAAAGATAAAAATAAATCGATTCTAACGGCCGGGAAGCGCGAGCTGCGCGGGCGAGACGGAGCGGGGCGCGCTCTGGAGGGTTGCTACGCCGATGGCTAGCCCAGCCCTACGGGGGAGACGGGGCGGGGCGGGGCGGGGCGGGGCGGGGCGGGGCGGGGCGCGCTCTGGAGGGTTGCTACGCCGATGGCTAGCCCAGCCCTACGGGGGGCGGGCGGGGGCCGGGGCACGGGGCGGGCGGGGCGGGGCGGGCGGGCGGGGGCGCGCTCTGAAGGGTAGCTACGCCGTTGACTAGCCCAGCCCTAGGGGCGCCGCGGCCCGGCGTCGCCCAGGCCGGAACAGCACCAAAGCGGGGCACGAACCGCCATCTAAATCCGGACAAGGGTTTCAGGTAAATTCGAAAGGGTTTCGATACATTTAAATCGAGCACGTCACTGGTAACTACACCGTAACTTCAGTCAAACACAGAGTTCCGCATGGCTTAACTTGGAGTATGGTCAGTAATTTTCTCCATGCACTCTAAATGTCTTACGGTGAAAGGCTGCACCAGAGATTTTCTCCGTAATACCAACCGACCGATACCAACGGAATTCGTCAAAATATCTACAAGTGAATTCTCTTTCAGCTGCACTATGGAACATTTTCACAATAATATGGAGAATCTTCACTGTACAACATTTAGAGAGTGCATTTAGACAGAGGGGGGGGGGGGAAGCGGAGGAGTCTGTTATGCGCTTGATGTCAAGCGTCAACTGATTAAACGCTTTGAAAACACATTATCATACTACGATGTAGTTTTACTAATGTTTTCGTTTGATTTTAACTGAGTCCTGCTGGACTCATGTCGGTAAACCAAACAATCATCCCCCCTCCCACGCTTTCGGAGCCCCAGTAGGTAGTGGAGGGGCAAAAAGATAACGACCTAACGACGCTCCCGCCGGGGACCCTTGCAGCCCAAAAACCGGAAAGGTTCCAAAATTCCGATCCCTTATCCTTTCTGCGACATCGACCTCCGCCGCCGCTCGTCGGACTCCGGAAACAAGTCAAGTCCCTATCGAAGCTCGACGCGTGCTAGACATGTGACTCCAGGACAGCGGGTGGGGCTGCACCGCACAGTGGAGGCGCCCAAAATTCTAGACGCGTTTCGAGCTCCAGAGTCGCGAAATGGGACACAAACCGAACGTGTGACCCCACCAATGGATTGCTCGTTCGGAGAGCAATCGATTGATGGGGTCACGCGTTCGGTTCGAGTCTCACTTAGCGACTCTGGAGCTCAAAACGCGTCTGGAGTGTTAGCCGCCTCCACCGGTCTTCTGGCAAATCCACTGCGCCCCGACATTCCGACCGATGCCGGCTACCCGATATCGCGATCGAGTAATCGAGTTTCTGCAGGCCGATCGCCTCAGCAGGCTGATTCCGGGACTGCTCTCGACTCACAGTGGGCCAGAAACCGGCGGAGGCGGCCAAAATTCTAGACGCATTTTGAGCTCCCGAGTCGCTAACAGGACTCGGACCGAACGTGTGACCCCACCAATGGATTCCTCGTCCGGAGAGCAATCCATTGATGGGGTCACACGGTCGGTTCGAGTCCCACTTAGCGACTCTGGAGCTCAAAACGCGTCTAGAGTTTTGGCCGCCTCCGCCGGTTTCTGGCCCACTGTGCGACGGTCTGTGCCTCTTGCACCCTTATGGAACGCCCCCTGAGTGCGAGAGAGACAGACTGGCGCGAGCAGGGCTCGGAATCCTTCTGCAGACACAACACGTTGTGAGGGAAGGCGGGATGATAAGTCGGGACAGGAAGCCCGACCGGCCCTGTCGCTGTCGTCGCTCGTTCTCTCTCGCTCTCTCGCGGCGTCCCGCGGAGGTGCGAGAGAGACAGCGACTCCACGCCAATTAGTGAAACGGACGAAGCTTTGGAGGAGAAACGCGGAGGACCGCGGCGCGGCGGCAGCGCGGTGCACCCTTGCAGGACCCAAGCGGTCCTGGCGGCCCTAGCGGCCCTAGCGGGGGGAGGGCCTTAGGCCGAGCCACGCTTTTGGAGGGTGGTGACCCTGTGTCGCGTACGCCCTGTGGCGCTGTGGCCCGCCAGGCTTGCCACGCCACGCTGGGCTTTGCCTCGCCTTGCCAATCGATATGCCCTGCCGGTCCGGGCCGAGCCGGGGCGGGGGCGGGGCGGGCGGGCGGGCGGGGGCGGGGCGGGGCGGGGCGGGGCGCAGCCAGGCGGGGCGGGCGGGTTGTGGGGTCTGGAACAGGCGAGGCAGCGCAAGGCGCGCGCCAAGGCGTCACGGACCGCGGCGTGGCGGCGTGGTGGTGGCCGTGGTGGCGGCAGGGTCAAAGGCACCACCGCCGCCACCACGAGCACCACCGCCACCAGCACGAGCACCACCGCCACCGCACGAGCACCACCGCCGCCACCACGAGCACCACCGCCACCAGTACGGGCACCACCGCCACCAGCACGAGCACCACCGCCGCCACCACGAGCACCACCGCCACGACACCACGCCACGACGGGCACCACCGCCGCCACACGAGCACCACCGCCACCAGTCACGGGCACCGCACCAGCCGCACCGCCGCCACCACGAGCACCACCCCCCACTCACGAGCACCACCGCCGCCAGTCGGGGCACCACCGCCACAACGGCACCACCGCCACCACCACGAGCACCACCGCCACCAGCACGGCACCACCGCCACCAGCACGAGCACCACCGCCGCCACCACCACAGCGAGAATGCACGCTAAATGCTCTTGCACAGTGGAGGAGGAGCACACGCACAACGCACGCCCACACGGGTGCCGCCGCGCCGCCCACCCCGCGCGCGTCGTCCGGTGACCGCCGCCGCCCCACGCCGTGCCGTGCGCCACCGCCACTTCAAAATAGGGTCGGGGACCAAAACGGAAACTCGGCGGTCAGTGGGATGGAGGAAAACCGGCAAAGGGGGAGGGGGCGGGGAAAAGGGCGAGAGAAAGGATTTGAGCGCGAAGGAAGGGATCACGGAGGAGGGGCGCGAGCAGCGAGCCAGCGAGCCGGGCGGGGCGGGGATGGGGCGGCAGATTTCGCGAGGCGAGGCGAGGCTTCCCGCGCCATTCTTGGCGGCCGCCGCGCCGCTGCCTGCAGACTGATTCCGAGACTCGTCGCTCTGTCTCTCTCGCACTCACGGGGCGTCCCGCATGGGCGCGAGAGAGGCAGAGCGACGAAAACGAGTCTCGGAATCAGCGTGCCGGGCAATGGCACGCCTCGCGATGCATATTAGTAGGCAGGTGTAGCGGCGACCCGGCACGGCGCGGCAGGGCGAGGCGTGGCAAGGCACGCCAGGACACGGCACGGCGAAGTCATGCATCCGCACCATCGCCACATTATTCGCACGCACTACTCCCAATATCGAGCCGTGCACAATCCACGAAAGGCGCGACGTGACGCAGGCCTTCGGGGCCTCCAGCCTTTAGCAGTGTGGCCGATAACGCGCTGCAGCCAAAGACCCGCCCCGCTGCGCAGCGCACAACGGCGGGGCGGTTGGCCGAGGTTGGGGCAAGGTTGGAATTAGAGCGCCCGGCCGGCCAGCCCACGGGGCCAGCAGACTGATTCCGAGAGTCCATTTCGTCACTCCGTCTCTCTCGCACCTACGCGGGACGCCCCGTGAGTGCGAGAGAGACAGCTCTCGGCAGCCCGCGGCCGCCGGCGAGAGCGCGGCGGCGCGCAAGTGCCAGTGTGCGCAGAGCAGCCTCGATTTAGACCGGCCGTCCAGGCGGCCCAAACGCGCAGCGCGCCGCGGCAGGCCATTGGAAGCCGGCAAAAAAGTGTGGAGGCACGGCGTGGCGCGGCCGCGAAGGCATCATGCGGTACGCGGGATGAAAAACAGCGACGGGGAACGTTTAGCGCAGCAGACTGATTCCGAGAGTCGTTTCCGTCGCTCTGCCTCTCTCGCACCAACAGGGGACGCTCCATGACCGCGAGAGAGACAGAGCGACGAAAACGACTCTCGGAATCAGTCTGCTGCGGCGCTACGCCGCGCTACGCCCGCGGTGACGACTTCCCCTCATTCCTGAAAACGAGGAACCGACAACGAAAAGAAGCTCGCGTGCGCCCCGCGCGCCGGGACGGTCTCCGGGACGGTCTCCGGGACGGTCTCCGGGACGGTCTCCGGGACGGTCTCCGGGACGGTCTCCGGGACGGTCTCCGGGACGGTCTCCGGGACGGTCTCCGGGACGGTCTCCGGGACGGTCTCCGGGACGGTCTCCGGGACGGTCTCCGGGACGGTCTCCGGGACGGTCCGCGACGGCCGCAGCGGCGGGACCAGAGTCCGGGACGACCGCAGCGCCAGCGAGCTCGCTCCGAACACGGTCGCTCTGTCTCTCTCGCGCCCCGCGCGGGTGCGGGGGAGACAAAGAGAAAGAGGGCGACGAAAACGGCGTTCGGAACGAGCCGCGGCGGCGCGGCAAGACCGCAGGGATAATCTGCCTGCAGGGTACCGCCGAGGCGCGCCAAGGGTACCGCAGCACCGCAGGGAGGAGCGCGACCAATGCCTTTTCCGCGCTGCCGCCTCAACCAGCAGACTGATTCCGAGAGTCGTTTTCGTCGCTCCGTCTCTCTCGCACTCCGGCGGCGTCCCCGGAGGGACAGGGCGACGAAAACGAACGGCTCTCGGCATGAGTGTGCAGCGCAGAGTGGACGCGCCCCGCCGACTTGCAGATACATTATCTCGGAGGAGCCAACGTAAACGGAGGAGGGACGACACCGGAACCATTTCGCGGGCTGTCGGCCAAGATCACCCCCGGGCGGGGCCAACCCTTTCAGACGCCACGGCCGAGGAGCCCCACCACGGAGACCGCACACGCAACCGAGTCCTTCAGGTCGTGGACACACTTGGGCAAACAGCGAACAGCGCGTGTGCCGTGTGCACTTCGCACGGCAGCCTGGCCCGGGCCGGCCTAGCCTAGGCCTGGCGGCCCCGAGCCCCCGGGTGTGGAGCGCTGCCCCAGGCCCGCCCAGGCCCGGCCATAAACAATCAAAGACAATATTGTGCGCCCCGGCCGCGCAGCCGCTTCGCGTGGTCCGCCGCAGCCGCCGCCATGCTATGGGGGGAACAGCTTCTCACATTCATTGTACAAAAATTGACCACATTCCACATTCATGAGGCAAAAACGCCTGTAGGTAGACAACATGTATGGCAAACATGCCAGAAATCTTGCACATTCTTGCACATTGACACAATCATTGTACACAAAATTTTACAGTGGGTCACCCCTCGCGCCATGCGCTCCCAGAAAAGAGGCAAGGAAAAAAATTGCCACGTCTCACAAAACGAAAAAGAAAATAAAAAAAATCGAGGAGAGTGGAAAAGGCAAGAACAAGAATTGCCACGCCTCCAAAAATGACAGGCAAAAGGCCAAAAAGAAGGAACAGTTTTGGCGTCATTCACTCTCATCCTTCAATCTACATGTTTTCCATATTCAGAATTTTGTTGGGAATTTTTCCAAGACGAAATTGATAATATTGTTTGTAGAACAAACAAAAATGTCAATACGCTTATTAATGCGCGCAAACGTGGGGCAACCACTCTGGAAATCTTGTGTCCCCTTGGCGCTAGAAATCTCTGAGAAATCTGAAATCTTGCCCCAAAAAAAGCCAAAAACTAGCTAAGGGCGGAATATCGGTTAAAATCTTGCGGAATCCCCAAAACATCCAATGTGATTGCACCATCGACAAAAACTCAGTACCTTAAGAGTCTGAGCGTGTTCACTAGTGAAAGTCCAGCCACAGTGCGCACTTACCTAATATTTGATTGAAAATTTTGTCGAAGGCGACCTCCCCGTTCCGGAGCATGCTCTTGTGCATCACGCTCTTGACGCTGAAACAAGCAAAACAGACACGGCACTGTGAAACAGAAACTAGCAGTGTACCGAAAGGGGCTTAGGTCAAAAACAAAGGGACGCGAGAGATGAGGTGCAGGCGGGGGGGAGGGGGAAGGAGGGGGTGCCTGCAGACCGATTCCGAGAGTCGCTTTCGTCGCTCTGTCTCTCTCGCACTCACGGGCCGTGCCGTGCTGGTGCGAGAGAGATAGAGCCACGAAAGCGACTCTCGGAATCGGTCTGCTGGTCCGGCCGGCTTGTCCGCTTGGGGTGGCGAGATGGGAAAAGGGGGCGAAGGGGGCGCAGCGCGCAGCAGTGGACTCATTCCGGGAGTCGTTTTCGTCGCTCTGTCTCTCTCGCACTCGTGGGAAGTACCGAGAGAGACAGAGCGACGAAAACGACTCTCGGAATCAGTCCGCAGGCTGAATCCGAACGCAGCGCCTCGCGTCGCCCTCTCTCTCTCGCACTCATGGGGGCCGCGAGAGAGGCAGAGCCGCGGTCCAAGAGCGGAGTCATTACACGGCGCAATGGCTCCCCCTCCCCTCCCCTCCCCTCCCCCGCTCCACCGCAAATCGACTACCGCGCGCCAAGAGTCCGCAAATCTCGCGTCTCGCGCGTTTTACCGGCGCCTATCCACACCGCCGGTCAGGGGCAGGGGCGGCAGGGGTCGCGGCGGCAGCGGCAGCAGCACACACACAGACGCGCGCACACATACCAACACACAAGCACATACACGCGCGACACACACACACAACCCCACACAAACACACACACAACCTTCCGGCCCGCGTCCATTTGCATGACAGAAGCACACTGTATCAATGCAGCCGCCTTCGATTCTGGAAAAGGGGTAGGCGAAAAAGAGGGGGGGGGGCAAGGGGTGCGTGTGCGGACAATGTAGCAGCAAGGCCGGAGCAAGGCTGAAGCAAGGCGGCCATAATGGTGGCCTGGCTTTATACGATCCCCGGAGCCCTGGGCGCCCTTCGGCCCGGCGGGGCCCTTAAAGCAGCCCTTAGTGACGACTTAGCCGTCGCTACACACGTTTGCTTACTGCCCGGGCCCCTGCACTGCACTGGCCTGGCCGGGCCTGGCCGGGCCTGGCCGGCTGTAGCGAAATCCACCACTTGCCTGGAGTTAGTGAGTCATTCGCCGCTCAGCATCCAAAACTTGCTCACGGTGCAACCCTGCGGGGGGCCGACTCCGAACAGTGGCTGCATCGCTCAGTCCCTGTCGCACCCACAGGCAAGCCCACGGGGCGCACAGTGGGCCAGAAGGCCGGTGGAGGCGACCAAAACTCTAGACGCGTTTTGAGCACCAGAGTCGCTAAATGGAACTCGAACCGAGCGTGTGACTCCACCAATGGATTCCTCGTTCGGAGAGCAATCCATTGGTGGGGTCTCACGTTCGGTTCGAGTCCTGTTTAGCGACTCTGTAGCTCAAAACGCGTCCGGGATTTTGACCGCCTCCACCGGCCTTCTGGCCCACTGTGGGGCCCGCACTGCCGCAGCATACAGACGGGGGTCACCAGTGCGCAGCACGCAACGGGGAAACGCGCAGGGCAGCGGGAAATAAGAATAAACGCGCGTTTGCAAAATATTTTGGCCGGCAACGTGGCGGCGTACCAACGTTTATGGGAAAACATTTGCGTGCCCCGGGACGTTGGACGTTCTGACGCGAGGGCTAAAAATAACGCGCGCGTTGGAGAACGGCGGCACGGCGCGGGGCTGCGGCTGGATGTGCTTGGCCAGGGCCTTTGCTGCCTCGGCCAGTGCCGGGCTCTCGGCCGGGCTGCTGGCCCGCAGACTCATTCCAAGAGTCACTTTTGTCGCTGTCTCTCTCGCGCTCCTGGGGCGTCCCGCAAGGTGCGAGAGAGACAGAGCGACGAAAACAGACTCTCGGAATCAGTCCACTGCCGGTCAATTCGCTCAGCGTCTCGAGAGCCCCATGGCCGCAGCGTCGCAGCGTCGCGGAGGCTGCGCGGCGCGGCGTGGCGTGGCGTGGCGCCTTGTCGCAAACTCGTTCGTTTCATTGCCTTTGGCCTGCCTTTGGCCTGCCTTTGGCCTGCCTTTGGCCTGCCTTTGGCCTGCCTTTGGCCTGCCTTTGGCCTGCCTTTGGCCTGCCTTTGGCCTGCCTTTGGCCTGCCTTTGGCCTGCCTTTGGCCTGCCTTTGGCCTGCCTTTGGCCTGCCTTTGGCCTGCCTTTGGCCTGCCTTTGGCCTGCCTTTGGCCTGCCTTTGGCCTGCCTTTGGCCTGCCTTTGGCCTGCCTTTGGCCTGCCTTTGGCCTGCCTTTGGCCTGCCTTTGGCCTGCCTTTGGCCTGCCTTTGGCCTGCCTTTGGCCTGCCTTTGGCCTGCCTTTGGCCTGCCTTTGGCCTGCCTTTGGCCTGCCTTTGGCCTGCCTTTGGCCTGCCTTTGGCCTGCCTTTGGCCTGCCTTTGGCCTGCCTTTGGCCTTGCCTTTGGCCTGCCTTTGGCCTGCCTTTGGCCTGCCTTTGGCCTGCCTTTGGCCTGCCTTTGGCCTGCCTTTGGCCTGCCTTTGGCCTGCCTTTGGCCTGCCTTTGGCCTGCCTTTGGCCTGCCTTTGGCCTGCCTTTGGCCTGCCTTTTGGCCTGCCTTTGGCCTGCCTTTGGCCTGCCTTTGGCCTGCCTTTGGCCTGCCTTTGGCCTGCCTTTGGCCTGCCTTTGGCCTGCCTTTGGCCTGCCTTTGGCCTGCCTTTGGCCTGCCTTTGGCCTGCCTTTGGCCTGCCTTTGGCCTGCCTTTGGCCTGCCTTTGGCCTGCCTGTGGCCTGCCTGTGGCCTGCCGCTCCGCCGGGGAGCCCCTTACGAAGGGCGGGTAGGCAACCCTGCAGCACTGCCGCGCGCTGTGTCCGCACGATTGCCTACCCCGCCGTCCACAGGCGCTACGTCGCGCCGTCGCCGCTCCTACAGCAGACTGATTCCGAGAGTCGTTTTCGTCGCTCTGTCTCTCTCGCAACCATACGAGACGCCCTGTCAGTGCGAAGGAGGCAGAGCGACGAAAACGACTCTCGGAATCAGTCGGCGGCGGCGGGCGGCCTCAGGCGACGGCTTAACAAGACGTCGCGACGCAACGACAACGACGCGGAAACAGGAAAAGTGGCCGCGCCGCCGCGTCCAATCGTGTCGCGCAAACTCGACCAACGAGGGAGTGACATGTGCTCGGAGTTTGGTATACTCTTCAATTTGCCATCAAATACTTTTTTCCATTTAGAGGAATTTTGTTTTAACAAAATTAATAGTGACACAATGTGAATGTTAAGAAATTACTGCACATGGCATGCAAGTCCCTAAAAAAGGTCTCACGTGTTCTATGGATGGAAGGTAAATTTTCAGGTCAAATAAGAAAGTTACTGCCATAGTAAGGAAGGGCCCTCAGACCACTCAAACTAAGAGACACTGAATAATTTATGATGTGGGCGCTATAACCATCACTACACGGTCCTCATAAAAAATAAAAATGTAGTGCAACTTCAGCTTGTTTAAGAAACTTTGACAGGTTTTAACCAGCGGTCCGTTCCCTGAGCAGATAAGACCGACAGAAATTTATTGTTACGGCAAGTACCCATGAATTTTACAGTTGACACTGTGCCGGGTTCTCTCTTCAGAACTCAATTTGGTTACTGTCACATGACATAAAAAAGGCTTTTCAACTCAACACATTACACAACAAATGAATGTTTGTGGTGCCATAACCAAGTTAGTGCACTTGTCACAGACTCTGAATGCCTTGTCCCAGACAGAAACACTGGCCCAATGCCTGTGAGGGGCCCATTCCAGTTGGCAAACCTCTTTACCCAGAAGTGCACAATCATGTGGTGTGCCATCAGAAAGTCCTGTCGAGGGGATTTGGGCCGTGACAGCTCGGGGGTCGAGTCCGCCAGTCCGCCCCTTCAGCCTTGGCTGCCTTGGCTCGCCTGCACTGCAAGGCGGCTGGCGAAGCAGTCAGCAGTGGGGTTAGGGTTAGGGAAGGGAAGGGAAGGTTCCACTTTGGAGGGTGGAGACATTGGCCTCCACACTCACCTCGGATCGGGGAGAATGATCTTCTTGCTGGCTCTGGCGGCTGGAGTGCATTTGCTCTTCTCCATGGCCATCAAGTAGCTCACGTCCGCGAGCACGGCCTCCAGATCCGCCATTTTGACACTTTCTGCTATTCACTGGGGACTGGGGGGCAAGGGGTATTCACAACAAACACTCTTCACTCCCGCTCCGCAGCATGCCCCGGCTTGGCTCGACCGTGGCTCCGCTCGGCTCGTCTTCAGGTGGCTCGTCGGGAACCAGGACGAGGCAGAGGCTCACGGGGACGGGGCGACGGCTACATTTCCACGACGACGACGACGACCCGCCTCATCCATGGGCAGGCTGGGCAGCAGCAGGCAGCAGCCTTGCCTTCGCTTAGCACGGAACACGGTAAACACAAATAGCAGAAACGGTCTGGCCAGGCACGGCCAGCAGAAAAGAAGCGTCTGCTCTCATTGGTCGATGCGGGGTGAGCATGACCAACTGTGGCGCGCAGTCACCAGCCCGCTGACGACGTCCCCGAAGTGCGTATCTCTCTGCGGACAGGGGAATGACCATGAGTCGGATTGTACAGCTAGCAAAATCATAATTTTCGGTGAACGTCCTCATCGCTGTAAAACTCTGCGGTCCAAGAAATGGAGCTCGAAACTAGCGTGGTGGTCATAGGGGGTTTTCGGGTAGGAAAGTTGTAGTCGTGGAGAGCTAACAATGGCTGCCTTCGGCAAAACCACCAGCAATGATAACACGTCTAAATTTCAACTAATTGCACAGAAGTTTTCGTCTTTGGTTTACGGCCGGAGCGAAGGTGATCGGCAGATCGTGAACGCGCTTCTAGATGACGTGAACGCTCTGGACTTCAGCCGCACGGTCATCACCAATGTCGATGTAAGTGTCAGTCGGGAGGTTAGGTTTCCCTGTGTTTATTATGACATTTCAGGACTTGTTGGAGAGAGCGGTTGTACTTTCAACCTTGTCTGTCAACTTTTCCGCCAATCGTTTTGAAATTTTCTATGTAGTCTTCTTTTTCGTGCCGTAGACTGTCATGATTGTCTCCTTTTTATTTTTGTTTTCAGAAAGCGGTGTTGATAATTAATCAGTGTTGTTCCCTTGTTCCCCCGAATGACACTTTCTTGGTCGCCAAAGGTTGTCACCTCATAAACAATCTTGTGGAGAAACAAGACGTAAGTTATTTGCCGCGAATTGCTTCGTCAGATCTTAAAGTCATTGGGTTACTGCTAAAATTTGACTTTTATTACAGGTACGAGTTGAAGGACGCACCCTCACAGTTGCCATACAGTGGTGCATTCAGGCTCTCAAACAATGTCCCAGTGTCGCATCCCAAGATGTGTTGGCTGCTCTTGGTGTTCTCATCAGGGGCAATGGTCCAAAGGTTCAAGAAGTGTGTAGACCAATGTGATATGGAGTGGATCATTCATTTTCTCTGTTTCCCAAAATAAGAGTTCATTTTTAAAAAATTTTATTTTTACAGCACAGCCAAGCTATACTTGCTGTATTGTCTCCACTTCTGAATGCAACATCAGATGATAATAGTCTCTCATCACCATGGGAATTGAGAGTAGCTGCGTTGCATTGTTTGGAAGCACTCAGCGCCCCTCCTTCGGATCGGTCACCCACGGACTCAGAGCACCTTCAAACATGTTTAAAAATATTCTTTAATCAATTGAATATAGACAAACATCCTGATCAGAATGAAGCTAACCTTTGCAAGGTACCATGGAAACGCCATTTTTGTGAATTTTCTCGCATGACTCAATAACTAAATGATTATTTACACTTTTCATTTTGTTTCTTTGAACAGATCATTCTTTCTGCTCTGAGAGGGATAGAAAATGTTGTTGTCCAAACAAATACAGGTGGTGATTTAGTAGGCGATGTTATAGGGGCTGCCAAAGTATTTATGCTCTTTGGTCTCCCATCATATCAGGCTGTGAAACCTTCCAGAGTATTACCAGCAGCTGTACCTGTTTGTGATGTTCCACCTCCAGCTACCCGAGGTCCCAAAACAATTAAAGGCGTTGTAAGTTTTAATGATTGTTATGAGATTGAAAAATATCTTGCATTATTCAAAAGGATTCTGAGTGCCAAATTTTACTTGTTAATCTTAGGGAAGTCGCACCAGGCCACCACGGAAGAGATCCACTCCAGCCAAAAAGAAATGCGACCCAAATGATGATGAGGATGACAGTCCTCATCAGGGGCCTGCCGTGCCTTCTGTCCTCGCTCATCCAGATGTGTCATGGCCGTACAGTGTGCCTGGGCTGGAGTGCTCTTGGCGAACAAGTGATTCTGAGTTTTCCGACTCAGAAGTCCCAGGGGCGCGACTGCGATCGCAACATGCGCGTATTCGACAGGCTGCTCTTCAGCTGTTGCTGTCTCTGATCAAAGTGAGTCAAAGAAATTGTTGAAAGTTCTTTTGAAGGTGTGAACTACCAAGAGCAGCAGATCATATTTCAATTGGAATTTTTTTTGTAGGTCACTGACAGGCGCGTAATGTGTGGGTATTGGTGGAGCCTCCTGCCCGATGGATTGCATGCAACAAATACTCGAACTCTCATCACCTGCGTCTTGAGAGACCCCTCTCCCCGCTGTCGCACTGCAGTGCTTATTGTGCTGTGGACTTTATTGGTGGGATCGAGATCTTACTTGCAGCAAGCTGAGCATGGGTAAAGAGAAATTATAGTGCATTGTCTGAAGTGAGTCACAGTATTATTATCATCTCATTGTCATCCCCTTGCAGGGACCCTTGTGGGTCTTTTATACCATTTTCTGTGTCCCTGGGTAACATGCTGAGGGAACTTCATAGATCACTGGCATTGGCTTTAGCAGCAGAGAATGCAGTGTTAGCTCTTACACAACTACTTCGCGTTGTTGCCATCTTAGTTCAAAACACTCCCTACCATCGCCTCCAGCCAGGTCTTTTAACAAAGATTGTTAGATCTGTTCGACCCCTTACTGTTCATAAAGGTATTATTAATTCCATGGTTTTATTACTTTATCTTGTCAACTTCGGAACCATTGGTTAAATAGATATATTTTATTCTCAGATGTGAACATCCAAGTGGCAGCTCTGACAGTACTTGGTGCTGTGGTAGCCGTACTTCCCTCCTTACCAGAGCTCACAAACTGTCTGATGAAACCTCGGTTTGCCTTGTCTCTCTCAAGAGGTAGGAAGTACTATAAACTTCATTTTTTACCCCTCCCGCCAACTCTCCCACCCAAACACAAGATTGTGGAATCTGCTTGATCTCAAGAATTTGTCTGTATTTGCCAGGTATCAATGCCAATGGAGTGAAGCAAGGGAATCAAGGTGATGATGATGGTAGTGGCGATGATGATGATGGGTACGGAGAGCAAGAAGAAGTTGAGTTAGATGCAGAGGAAGCTGAAGCAGGAGGTTTTGTGCAAGTCTCACAAAGCACAAGTTTAACTTCCGAGACACAGACTGCATCACATTCTGTGGCAGGTTCTGGTTTGCCCTGGATTCTGGAACTCTGTCTCAGAAATCTTGGCTGTCAGACTGTTGCAAGTGGAGGAGTATCAAAATGTAATCTACTTTTCAAAATCGTTTTCCTTCTCTGCTTGTTTTTTGCATGTTTTTAGACTTTATGAGTGGTTTGGTTTTTAGTTTCAGTTATGCTCGAGGGAACTTTCGCAGCTGCTCCAGTACGTGTGGAGTCACTGCAAGTTATTGGTGCCATGGCTACTTGTCACTTTGCCAGCGCTATTGCTCCAAATATTGGTGTTCTTCAAAGTGCTTTGGAAGTTGCTCTTAAAGACACAGATGAGTCTATTCGGCTCCATGCAGCACGTGCTGTTGAGAGTATTGGATTGGCAATGCATAAATCTCTTGAAGGTATTTTTTTTCCCCCTAATAAGATCTTATTTTCTTGTTGTACATTGGAGAAGTAGCATAAAGCTAAAATTGTTTGTTCACTATACCTTGCATTCTTGTTTTGTTTTCACAGATGAAAATGGGTCTAAAATATCCATGGAAGTGATTGCATCCTTTTGGAGGGAACTTTTGAGTGGCTCTGTTACATCACTAGTACAGTGTGTTGATCAACCATCTTTGAGGGCTGCTGCTTGTGACTGTTTAGCCAACATTGGAATGAGTGTGTTTGAAAAGCTCTCGGTAAGTTTTCCATAACCTGGAAGTGAGGACATCACTTTACCCGATGTTATAATTTCTTCAAACATTTAATTTCAGTCTGACCAACAAATACTTAGTTTTACTCTTTTATTTGGATGTGTGAATGATGAAGAAAGCTTAGTTCGTGCATCTGCTGTGAGGGCTATTGGCCTTTTTGCCTTGTATCCGTGCTTACGCAAGGTAAAGTACATAATTTAAGACCTTTATATTGTGTTTAAGGAAAATATTTACTTCTGTATTTACTATAATTCTGTTTATTTATAAATTTCCAGGACATACAATTCACTTTGGACTCCATTGAAGCTGTCACTCAATCCCTCAAAGATGAAAATCAAATTGTTCGTATGAAAGCCTCTTGGTCACTAGGGAATATTAGTGACTCTCTCGTTTTTAATAGGTATTTTTAAGTTGTTTTCTTTTTTTGCAGTTTATTTTTATACATTTGCTTTTTTGTTATCTTGTTAAAATTTTTATCTATTGTTGGATTTAGATCTGAAGGTTGTGAAGAGGTCCCAAACAGTGTTTTATTAGAATTACTTCAGGCTAGTGTTACTGCCTCACTTGACAGTGACAAGGTATTTACTACCCAAAATTAACTGTTAATGTTTCAGTATAAGAGAACATTTTTATCATTTTGATTTGTGTAGGTACGGGCCAATGGTGTACGTGCTCTTGGAAATTTCTTGAGATTGGTCTCAGCTGATGCTGTGAGACAACATGGAGTAGATGTCATAGACAAAGCAGTGAATGCTTTAACACGCAATGCTTGTGTGGGAAGTAACATGAAAGTAAGAGCTCAATCAAATTCCAGATTTCTGAGGAAGTGTGTATCCAAGTCATGTGTTCTACAATATCTTATTTGTTTGCAAGGTTCGCTGGAATGCCTGTTATGCTCTTGGAAATATGTTGAAGAATCCAGAGTTGTATGAACATAACATTAATTGCCAGGTAACTCATTATTTTCCAAGACTAAACTTTCTTATATTTTAATATTTTATTATTTTTCTGGTAATGATTTATCTTGTGACTTCCAGACAACCATTTTTCCAGTTTTGTGCAATTTAGTTCACAATTTCCGCAATTTTAAAGTACGGATCAATGCTGCATTGGCTTTGGGAGTACCTGAGCATCGGGCGCTGTATGGTCAACATTTCTCTGCAGTTTGGACAGCTCTTCTTGCTGGTTTGGACAATTCTGAACATATGGCAGACTTCAATGAGTACAAACATAGAGATGCACTCTTAGATCAAGTAATAATAGTGAAAATTTACATTTTTCTTGTGGTAACTACTTACGTCCTCAAAATTAACATTTTTATAAAATTCCAGATTTGTAGCTCCCTGTGCCACATAGCATCTTTAGTTACAATTGAAGACCTGACTGGACTTCATGATGAACTAGTCCTTCATCAAGAGTCTCTTCAACAGCACTTAACTCGAATGGAGGATTCAGTAGTTCCTGAACGAGCAGGAGTTTTTCTAAGTGCTGCCAATCACACCAATCAACTTTTATCTAATTCATCTCTAAATGGGGTTCAACGCACCACTGCAATTATCCTTCACAATGCATTCAAACTAAACCAAGATAAGCTATAAGCCCAATAATTTGTTAATTTTATCTGTATTTTGGAGTTTAACAAAGTAATCATTGTATGAATTTATTTTACTTGACAGTTTGCGAGATGTAACAATTTTTACCAAAGGAAGATAATTTTTCCATATGGTTCTCTTGCTGTGATATTTATTTCTACCAATTTCACAGGATATGAACAGAACACGTCATCCTGTATTGAATACTTTTCATTTCAGAATATATTTATTTTTTTGAGTGACAATAAATTTTTGTGATTAATATCAACTTGTTTTTATGATAATTTCAGGCTCCTTGTCCCTAAAGTTCATAATGTTTTTTTCCACCAGCAGTGGTATGGTCAAATTTTCAGAGTGCATAATCAAACATATTAAGACCCTGCACCTTCCTCTTTGGAACCAGTATTGGTCACACTGTCTTCTAACCTTTCAACATAATCACTAAGTTTATCATTCAGTTTTAAATCCGATGAATTATCTTTAGAGGAAGTTTCTTCCCTGTTATCTTTAGGAGCTTCAACGTCATTGTCCTCATCCTCTTCTTCAGATTCACTTTCAGATTTCACATCAGTTTTTGCTCTTTTGAATTTCTTGTTCTTCTTTTTCTTTAAACGTTTTAAGCGTTTCTTAGCTGTCTCCTCCTCTGCTTTCTTCTTGTTTTCTTCAATCTTTCTGTGGTATTCATCTTGAAGAGTGTCCTGAGAAGAAATATGAACAATACTTAAATTTTGCTCTGAATATCTAAGTAGCAACACGGAAAACAGCATTAACGAGTGTTCACCTTTTCCGCTTTCTCTTGAATAAATTTCTGACGGGCATATTCTTTTCTCCGAAGATGACGATAAACATGGAACTCTCCACTTCCAGCACCTGCACTGGAGCCCATAACGTTGCGAACAAACTCAGGCACATGAGGTGTATTCCTTTCCTTTGGTCTTTCTGGGATGACAACTGGCTTGTCCTGTGGCAAATAGAAACAGGATAGAAAAACTACCAAAAAAAGGAAAAGGATGCCGTTAAGAAATGTTGAAAAATTTGAGTTCTTAAGGTTCTTAACCTTACTAAAGATTTTTAGTTTAACCCTATGATGCACTTACGGGATTTTTCATCAGCTTTTCAATTTTTAATCTCTGAAGATCAGCTGTATTCTTAACGATTACTGGCTTTTCATCATCAGCTCCTCTTTTCTTAGGCTTTTCCTTGGCTAAAGACATTTTTCCCGGCTGATGACTTCAACGAAAACGTAAACAAACAACAACAACAACACACTCTCCCAGTTTAACAACGCGACAATGCCAAAATTACGTTGTTGAAATGTTACTAAATGCAACGGAGGCAGTCAAATCAAGATGTTGCAACTACAGAATATTGTAAAATTTACATGCTTAAGAAATTCTCCCGCAAAAGAATAGCTTTTTTGGTGAATTTGCGAAGGATTTTCGTGTAGCAGTGTTGCATGAGTGGAACCTGCAAATAATGCTAATTTTGCATATCTTTTCTCGTGTGAATAGGAGCGTGCAGCTGCAGTTGTTGCAACCAACAGAAAATGAGTTATTGCGCCGGATGAAAATAACGACTTTGATTCGTATTGCTGCTTGATAAAGTTAGTAACTCTAGGAGTTTTTTTTAAGATCCTTTCTCAGTCAAATGTTCTTAAGGACAACGCTGTCACAGAAACTGCCGTGAAAATTATGTTTCGAGAAACAGGTTATGGCGCCAACTAAATCGAATCATGCTTAATAAAATAATAGAGGAATGTCTTTCTTGTCCATTTGTGATTTCTAATTTACCGACTGTGTATCCTCTCACCCCTCCAGTTTACTTATTCTGTCCTTTCCAAAAGTGTTTACAAATCTCGTTTTTCTCATTTGGTCCTTGCTTTGTGTCACACTCTAACAAGTATTAATTTCGTCTTTTTCAGGTTCCAGTTTGTTATGATATGCTCCATCTCTTGCTGAAATCTCATCACCAAAATGGGTGATCCTAATCAGTTTGGATCACCTTTTACTGCTCAACCATTTTTTACTGATTCTCAAAACACAGCAGCGAGTCAGGGACAAGCTCAAGCGACTTCGAGCATTTTCCCATCTGCCGGTGCTAACTCTGGATTTTCTGGATTTAACAACAGTGCTGAAGCTAGTGGTGCAATACGGCAAGACCTTGCACTCCCTCAAGCTCCATCAAATGTGTTCTCTAATCCAGTACCCAAGAGCTTATTTGGTATATCGTCTTCAAACAATGAGCCCACTCCATCGATTTTTGGGGGTTCATCCTTTTCTAAACCAAGTGAAAGTGTGTTTGCTCCATCTGCAAGGCAAAGTATATTTGGAGGAAATGCCAGTGCCAATGCTCAATCTTTGAATGCTCAAAAGATTGAGAGTGGTGGCACTACCAGCTTCTTTGGAAGGACTCAAACAAATTCCGGTGTTCCTCCACCCAAGGCACCAGAGGTGGTGTCATCAGCAGCTGGGAGCATATTTGGTGGTTCATTTTCATCCCTTCAGGCCACCAGCTTTCAACAGAACCCTATCAGTAGTTTGTCTTCTCAAACTGTGGAATCAACAAGCACTCCGAAGCAGAGTATATTTGGTGGAGCGTATTCTAGAAGAGAAGAACCATCAGCAAAATCAGGATTTCCTCTGGGTACTGAAAAGGATCATAAAGCAAACGATAACCTTTTCTCTTCCGGGGCACCCAAAGTTTCTTTTGATAATATTGCTTCAAGTGCATCATCAGAAAAAGCCCATTTATTTTCGTCTTCAAAATCTGCTTTTGGTAGATTTACCAATACTGGCATTGTAACTTCAACTTTATCCCACCGTTCACAATCTGGCAATCCGTTTTCAGTGAATGACACTGATGAAGGGAAAGATGAAGAAACATGTACAGACAACTTAGCCCCAGATCAGGCATCAGGATGGGTACCAGACAGTTTGGAAGGATCAGATCAAGACCGTTTCAGTGAAAAGTCCAAAAACACCTCTCGAGAGAGCAGGTTGGTCAGAGTCAAGCGTGGAGTTTTTGGAAAAGCACTGGCAGATGTAGCAAAGTCATCCAGTCGTAAGCATAAATTATACATTTTGTATGATATCATGTGTATATGACAATTTGGAGCAACTTTTCTTATGTAGCATCACTTTTGTTTTAGAAAATGAGGAAATGAGATCAATTATTTGCCACCCTGCGGATGGAGAACTGCCTGATAGTTCAGTTTTGAAGGATCACTTTCAGCAGTATGGGACACCTCGTGTTTCTGTGAACAAGGAGAAGCGTTTTGTTGTGGCAACATTTAAATCCCACGTAAGGCATCCATTCATATGCGCTGCAATATTTTTGTTGAAGTATAATAAGTATAAATACAAATATAACATTTGCTGTTGCAGGAAGAAGCAGAGAAGGCAAAGAACGGACCTCAAGTAATTGATGGAGTTCAGTACAAATTCTTCTGGAGAAACATGCCGAAGCCAAGACGAAAATCTGCAGACAACGAAGAAAAACAGAAACCAGTAGAGGAAAGGAAAAGGATTGCAAGGAGGTCGGATATGGATATTGATGATGACGTCAGAGAAGAATTGGCTGCCATATCAGGAATCGACTATCTTATGCCGCATGAAGCCTCTTCCAAACGCAAAGCCGTTTCAGGCCGTGAGGCTCGCAAAAAATCCCGTTCTCTTGTCAAGTCAGAGGGAGTTGATTCAGAAGGACGAGAAGTGCAAGATGAACCTGCCAAACGGTATTTATATATTTACATTGTTTTTATTTATATTTATGTTGATCTTTGTTTCTAATTTATTGCATTTATTGGTCACTCTGTATTATCAGCCTTACCTCTAGAACTGAGGGGAGTAGGGATATAAGATCCAGGACAGCTAAGATTTCAAAGGAGACAAGAACTGAGGAGAAATCAACCCTTCAAAGTAGAATTGGTAGTTCCGATAGATTATTTGCCAAAAAATCAAAGGTAATTGTGGTTTTTATTTCCTTCTCTTTTGTTGTTACCTTGTGAATTGACTTGCTGAGTGTTTATTTTATCAACCACAGGATGATTCTGCTGAAATTAAACAAGAAAAATTGGAGCACAATAATCAGGTGAATTCTGCAATCACATCAGCAATCACTTCTGAATTGATGGCATCACTTAAACAGCAAGCTACCTCTTCTGAGGAAAAGTTAAGGTTGTTAGATATTCGAGACAAACTGATACGACATTGTAAGTGCATCCATTAATTTTGGTCTTTTCTTTTGTTTCATGAATAGACTTTTTAAAACTGTATTTGTTTTTTTAAGTGTTTTGTTTATATGTGGTTTATGATTTTGCTTGTAGTGCAACCAAAGCAATATGACATTTCTAAGGCTGTGAAAACTGTTGGGACGTGTCCTGATATGTGTCCAGAGAAAGAGCGCTTGTTGAGAGAAACCAGACGCCAAATATCTCAATATGAAATGAGCTCTTCAAAGGTTTGTATAATTAACTTCTAAACTTTCCTTGTTTTTAATTTTTTCATAAAATATATTTTTGTTGCTGTCTCATTTTTGTTATTATTATGAAATGTTTCTTTGCTCAGACTTCTGAAATGGACCCAAATCTTATGGTGAAGCAATATTCAAGAAGCTCTGCTGATCAAGAGGAACCCCTTCCTCATGACCTGCGGCCACCTGCAGTCCTTACTATGACCATGAACTATTTGATGCACACCATAATGAATCAAGGTGATGACCCTGGTGAAAACTTGGGAGAGTGGTATCACTTCTTGTGGGATAGACTGCGAGGCATTCGAAAGGTACTCTCTTGGGCATACATCATTTATTTTATCTTCTCTTATTTATTTGCTCTAATTTAATTGTTTGTTATAGGAAATAACGCAGCAAGAATTATGTGATGTTGATGCTGTTAGTCTTGTAGAGCAGTGTGCTAGGTTCCATATTCACTGTGGTGCACGTCTTGTAGCCGAAGATATGTCTGTTTTTGATGATCGCATAAACACTGAAAATCTTACCAAGTGCCTTCAAACCCTAAAGCATATGTACTGTGACTTATGGATGAATAACAGTATTACTTGTCCAAATGAACCTGAATTCATATCATACTTTCTTCTTCTCAATTTGAATAATGGGACAATTATGTGGTGAGTGTTCTACCTGGCACTAACAGATAATTTTTCATGGAGAATGGTTTGGCTCACATTTACCGTAATTTTGAAACTGTTTCTGTCCTTCTCAGGGAGATGGAGCAGCTCCGTGAAGAAGTCCTTAAAAGTCCAGAAATAGGATTTGTGGCATCGATGTACAACAGTCTATCATCCAATAATTTTATTAGGTTTTTTCGATCTGTAAGGAAAGCATCTTATCTAAATAGCTGCTTATGTATCCGATATTTCCATCAAGTAAGAGCCAAAGCTCTCAAAACGTACATCAAAGCCCTTGCTAAAATTCGGCCAGTTCAAGTAAGATTGTTTGTTTGAACAGGGTCCTCCTGACAACTTAATGATATCCTCTCATTAATGAAATGATTTTTTTACAGTATCCATTAGGTTCTCTTGTAGAAGAATTGGGATTTGAAAATGCAGACCATGCTGCTACATTTTGTGGCCATTATGGTCTACAAGTTGACAATGCTTCTGCTGATACTGCCTGTGTTGTATTGACCCATGAAACGTTTGAAAACCCAACTTTTGCTCTTCCACCTGAAAGAGAATTTAGACTTGCAGAGTCAAAAAAGATAGGTAGTGTTGGTGAGGTTTGTGTCAATTCCTAAATTCTTTTATTTATTCTTTTTTTTTTTGCTGTTACGCGTTGAATGAGCATTAAACTAACACCAGAACTTGGTAGGTGGTCTATGGCGGAGCTCTTCCACCTCGATTGTATGTAAACCATACTGTGCATGAGAGCTTTGATGAAAATGGTTTCTTATTAAGGAGTGCCTTTGATGCAAAGGATCAAATACCTACTGGTATAGAGATCCAAGAAGAGGAAGAAAAAGAGAATGTTTGCACGGAAGTAATGGACAATCGACCCACTCAAGTGGAGACTGTAATGTCATCTGCAAATGACAATTATGATGCTAAAGTAAGTCATGGAATATGTATGCAGAGTATGTATAGTCTCTATTAGCTGTTTTTGAGTTCTTATACTTTCAAATATTCTCTGTTTACAGTGCGAGAAAAGCGTACCCCAAACGTCTACCTCCTCTTTTGGCGGTTTTGGAAATACAAAACTTTTGTTCCCACCATCTTTCACCAACCCCCAACCTGCAATCTCCAAAAGCTTTAATGCTCCATCTAATCAAATGTTCAAGGCTTCCTTTAACTTTCTTCAAGTACCCTCTGAAAGACATGAAAAGTCAAATATGGGCCAAGTACCTGGAATGCCTGATCCTTTAAAGCAAGCAAATATTCAAAGGCTCGAAGAAGCTCGAGCCAAACTTGAGGCTGAAAAGAAAGCCCAAGCTGCTGAACTAGAGAAATGCATAAACTCAAGTTCTGAAATTCAAATGCAAGATTTGCTTCAATCTGGTATCAAAGAGGCAGCCACTGAAATAGCTCTTTTGGAATGGAAAGCTGCAGAAGAGCAGCAGCAGGCAGAAGAAAAACAACGTGAACTGGAACAGCTTCGGGCTCAAGAGGAATTGAGGAAGCGTATCCTGGACACAACTGTGGATAGAATTTCAAATGATTCTTTATGTGATCTTTTCAAGGAAGTGGTAGAACAAATGGTTGCTCAGTCTGCCCAAGAAGTGCTGAGTTCTGAAATAGAGCTTGCAACCAACATCAATACTCTATCAAAAGAATCTCTTGAATCTCTCATACATGATGTGGCTTTGGAATTGTGCCATGATTTGGCCACAGATGAAAAACGGAGAGCAAATGAATGTGCAAGGTATGAGTATTTGTTCTTATTGTGTCATCTTACTTCTAGCCTTAGTCTTTAAACTCAAAATATCACCTTTTTCTGTGTAGGCAAGAGGCTGTTAAACACCGTGTGCGGCAAGTCTTTTATTATTGGTTGGAAAAAGCTCGACGTTCCCTTCACAGGCGGCGTGTCATGCAAGATTTCCCTGCCAGTGTGATTCCACTCAGTATAAAGGAACATGCCCAAAGGTGGAGCATCTCCAAAAGTAATGAGACTGATGCATGGGAATCATGCTCTAAGGGCAATGAGAAAGTTCTTGATATTCCAGGTAGGACATGATCGGGTAAATTTTTCAAAGTACCATGCTGGTTAAAAAATAATAAAAACTATATTTTCTTGGTTTTGCCCTTGTAGAGTTGAAAGCCATGCCAGCCTATCCCAAGATTACATTTGCAGAATTGATAGCAATACAAGCAGTTCATCGTTATGACACAGTCCGAGTCAAGCTTGGGTTACATCCCACTGATAAATTACTTTACAAGCTTTTTGTTTCTGTGCCTGAAGAGCCCAAGGATCCAGCTGTCCAGCTAGTGGATTGGTGGATAAGGAGGACTCTCAAACAAAATTGTGGAATTGTCCATGATGATGTTAAAAAGGTACTGGAATCTTATACATATCTACTTTTCCCATCTCTCATGATTTTTTTAGAAATGGTGGTAGATGTGTTAAATTTTATTAATTTCCAGGGTGTGTACCGGATTGTCAGTGGCGTTAAAGTGACGTCAGAAGTAGCTGTGTATGCCAGCTTACAATTGGTTAGAGGTAGTAGTGCACTGGAACAAACAAGTTTAGCTTCAGGTACTAGTGCTATCCTGTTCAGCTTATCACCCTCCAGTTGTATTGAAGAAAGCCGGTCGCGCCTCACCTCATTATTGAAGTCCATCAACAAGTTGCCCGCTGTTCCCCTTGTAATTGCTGTTGTAAGCCCCTTGGAGCCACCTCTTGAGGGCTTGAAGCAGCTTGTTGCAATGCTGGAGCTGGACCAGTGGTTACATCATGGTGCTATTTCTGACTATCAAATTCTTCATGTTGAGGAGCTTTTTGACTTAAAATACTTGTCAGAACGCTTCAACATGGTAAACACATTTCTTAGTTGTTTGTTTTTATTGATAAATACATTGCTTAAAACCTTATTGACTCTTTCTTGTTTTCAGTCTTTCAACTATATGGTTATGACATGGACTCCAACTCCTGAATTTGCCCTTGTTTGCTTGAAAAATGTATTAAGGAGCACATTTCAAATGTTTTTCATATCCATTCAATTTAACTATAACAGTAGTGAAACATACCCTCAAGATATTGATGTAAGTCAACTGTCTGTTTTTCTTGCTGTGCGAATGTGATTACGCTGGTCAGACTCTGCATCTATCTTTTTCTCCCTTCCCTTTGTAGGACCCAAGAGTTATCATTGGACTTTGTAATGAATGGTTGGATCACATGCGTCTTGAATTTGTATCAGCATACCATGAAGCAAAAGATTTGTGTGGGGCAGAGTTTTGGCCTTTGCTTCACAAGGGTGCATATCTGCCATTTTTGAACAAGCCCAATTATGAGCAGCTCCTCCAAGAGGTACAGAATCTATCTACCATGTTACTTATTAGCAACTACAATGGTGTATTGAATTTTGGTTTATTTGAAATTTTTCAATGTCTGGAAATAAAGAAAATTGTGGCTAATTTTTGTGTCCCGAAAAAAAAATAATTATAGGTCATGCGAACGGTTTCCTTGCCCCCTATGGAATGGCCCCCTTCTTCAGAAGAGGAATTTCTAAGATCTCTTACCCAATATTGTTCATGGTTGAGACCTGATGATCGAAAGCAGACTTGCAGAAGGCAAGTACCTTTGCTGTAACTTTGAGACTCATATTCTGAGACAAGAATATTAATAAATTTTTCTTACCTTTGCAGGTTATCATGTTTGAATGGTTTGGAATGGTCGGAAAAAATTAGACGTATTCCATGGGTAAACCTTGTTGAGGTGAGTTCATAAATATTCTGGGGGAGCATAATTCAAGGTACCATGATCTTATATGTTCTATTTTCTTACTCTCACTAGGATTGGATGGAAGCCCGAATCAATTACATTGAAACCTCCGTCATTTGCGGAACTGAACTGCTTTGTCTAATGAGGGCCCCAAATGTGGAGCGTCTGTACACTTACCCTTGGTGGGCACATTCTAAGCACATAATTTCCTACCTTGGTTAGTTCAACAAGTGGCTATTTTTGCTACATTGATCACGCTGTTGTTTGATTGTAATGTCATTACTTTATTTTGTTCAGAGGCCAATGGCTCGGGAAGGGAGTGTGAGATGGATGTTGACCAAACTGTCCCTTTCGAAAACACTTCTGCAGAAGATGCCAATTTATCTTCAGCTGAACAGAAAGATGAAAGCCCCCAGCTGAACCACCTGGAAGAAGTTGCAGTGTGTGTCAGTGAATTAAAGAAAGTAAATGAGTCGCTTGTGTCTCGTCTGCGCACTGCTTTGGTGGATGATTGTGGTGCTTCACCTAAACCCCAAAACAATTATATGAACGTAAGTCCAATACTAGTATTTTAATTTTTTATTTAATTTATTATAAATTCTCTTTTCTACCATTTTTCAATGTTCTAGGTTTCTGTTAAAGAATGTGATTCCAATACTCAGGAAGTTTCACCCACTCTTGAATCTTTAGTGAAAAACATTGACCTTCAAGTTAAGGCACATCGTGATTTAAGGAGCAGTATAAATAACATGCTTTCCAAAGCTCTAGCTGAAGGTAAGTACACAGTCAAAGTGAAACCATAATGGTTTAAATATAACTCTCCTGTCCCACTAAAAATTATTTATTTTGTCTCACAAGAATTGACACTTTCCTTTACTCCACAGAACCGAGTGACACTAACAATAGAATTGCCGGGGTTTCCCAAAGTAATAATGAGCATAGTTCTGTAGCACTAGTACCACCAATCAGCAAGCCGTCTAACGATATGGGTTAGTATATCTGCTATCAGGGAAGAGTGAAATAAAATTCTACCTGTTTTCTCTTTATTTCCGTCACTGATGTTGGTTACTGCTGGTTTTTCCTTCCCATTAATGAGCATAATTTGATATTGCAGTTGAATCTGACCAAGGAAAAACGGAATCCTTAAAGAAAATGGATGAAATAATGGCATCTGCAAATGATATTGTATCATCACTTAATCAGAAATATAAAATATTAGATGACATTTCTACTACAACAAAAATATCAGGTACTTGTGTACAGTTCACATCAGTGTACATACATTGTAGCTCTTAAAAATCAACCCATTTTTCTTATGTAATTGTTTCATTTTTTTAAAAAAAAATTATTTTTTTTGCAGATCTGAAGCTAGGTTTAACAAAGGTTGATGTCTCTGTACCTTTTCTGTCTGATAAGCTGCATCACAGTACCTATGTAGAAGAGAGTCAAAAACGTATGATGGAAAGGTTACATGGCTGTTCTGAAAAGGAAACCACAGAACCTCATAAAAAATGCCAGCCGTCAGCTGCTGACTCAGACTTGGATATTATTTCTGATGATAGAAGTACATCTTCTGAAGTAAGAAATGTATCATCACCATCATATGTTGACAGTGTATCGGAGAAAAGTGTTAGTGATGAAGAAAATGAATCGCATAGTCCTAGTGATGAAAGTGATTATGAAGTTAACATTAGAAGCAAAAAGCGATTGCATTCTAATGACAGCGATGAAGACAGTATCTCAGGTAGCAGAATACGCCGTCACCATAATGAGAGTGAAGATGATGACTATTCTGAAGACAAGAACTGGCATCGCCGTAGGCATAATAAGGATCAGGATTATTCTAGTCAAGATGGAAGACGTCAGGATGACAGTGAGGATGATAATAGTGATAGATCTAGCCAAGGCAGTGAACAAGAACCAACTGATGAAGAAGTTCAGACTATATCATCAGACGATTCAAGGGAACCCACAGTAAACCATCTCAATGTGAACCTGGCTGAAACCACTGCCAGTCATTGTGATGATGATCCTTCATTACATGATGCAATTCAACCTGTTCCAGATTCGTATATGCTTGAGGCAGAATCAATCACTGAAAATGATTATGTTGTTGAAGATAACTCTGGGAGTCATCTGACAAATCTCGACAACCCACATCAACATTATCAATCATATTACGCTGAAGGCTCAGACATAGGTGTAGAGGATCCTGTATTTACAGTTTCCACTGAAATGGGTATTTTAAACTCTGTGACCTCTAATGATGTTGTTGTATCTAACAGTGATCTTGTGTCCGAAGAAAACAATGACTTACTTATGATTCAATATGAACCCAGTAGTGATGATGCTGTGCAGAAAGATTATGAAATTGAAGCTGACCAAAGTTATGAAAATGAGTCCAGTGAGTTCATTCCTGATCACAGTGAACACACCCACCAAAATACATCTGATGAAGACGATCATAATGAGCACCACCGCAGAGAAATGTCTGACGAAATTGACAGAAACTTTGCTGAGGGCTCTGGAAGTGAAGTTGAGGAATACGAAAATGTGGAGGAAGAAGAGTATGATGGTGTGGCCGAAGTGGAAGGTGATGAGGAGGAAGAAGAGTTGGTGGAGGAAGAAGGGGGAGAAGAAGAAGAGTTGGTGGAGGAGGAAGGGGGAGAAGAAGAAGAGGGCGAAGAAGAAGGAGGGGAAGAAGAAGGGGAAGAGGAACTGGAGACTGACCCCGAGACTGAAGCTGAGCCTGAGGAAGACAGCGATGTATGTGAGGTGATTGATGATGATTGACCTTGCTCTAATTGGTTTGCACCAGTCAACTTGAAGTATTGGAAGAGACATTGCATTCTTTGAGTTTGTTTTATGTTAATTTAATTTGTAAGATTTTAGATGGGGACTTTGTGCCTTCCCTACATAATGTCCTCAGGATGTAAGTCACCAGCCCTACCTCATCAGTTTTTGCTGGTATTTCTAATTGATGTGACCTTTTCAGTGTGATGTAAATTTGTGTTATAAAGTAGTGTCTTCTGTTTAGTTGCTATGTATTTATTAAAATATAAGAACTGATTTATTTATCTACGATACACTTTGTCATTCAACATGTGCTCTTTGCTCCTTTATTCAAAATGCATAATAATTATTGTAAGCAAAATTATTTGGTAACAAACTTATTTTCTGTTGTTTGTTGTCTGTGATTGTTGTTTATTTGGCCCCCTTTTTTCTTTTTTTTTACTTTTGTATTAGACGTCTGTCTGGCAATTTTTTTCACTGATTGACTCAAAGAATTATTCTTATATTCTATGTGAAGAGATGTTTTTAATAAAGGTTTTATGAAAAGTAGATAATTTTTTGCTCTAAGCAAAACCTTCATAATCTTAGTACTAATATGACAATATTTAGAGCCTAGAGGCAAGAAGAGACCACTAATTATTTAAGTGGGGCGGAAAACCATTTCTCATCTGAACCACGAGGAATCGACGCGTTCCAATTCTAGGAGGGAACAGAACAGGCGGCGCTCTGCCGTGTGAGTTGCCTACATTTCGGCGTTATGGGTCGAGCCTGTAAAGAGTAACGATTGCGCCGTCAAGTTAGGCAACCCATTTGACACGCCACAGCGCGGTGGTAGCTGATAATTAGAGACACCCTGGCTATAAGAAAAGCAAACTCACGATTTTTCCCTGTGAAGAAGTAAAAGAGTTCCCCTCATCGGGTCATGCAAGAAAAAGAACTTCTGGTATTAAATTATCACATTTTTAATACCGATCAGTGTCTTAAAAATTAAACAATGAAAAATGTACATTGATGTGATGGATGTAATTAGATGATAAAATCACACATGAAAACATAAATGTTAGTCAAATTAAATAGATAAGCTAAGAAGTAATGCAGTAGCTCTCTTAATCCAGTGGTCAGCAGTCTCAGCTCCAGATTTGAGGTCCACAGTAACAATGTAAGCCTCTTTGCCTTGGGTACCACATCGCTGGGGTATATAGTAGCATGGGCAACTATAGAGTCCTAAAAACAAACAACCACATTTCAAATTTAAAAAATCAATATTGATAAAAGATGTTAATTAAGTGGAGTTTTACCTCTAGTTTTCTTCTTAGATGTCTCCACAGGTTTAAAGTGAACCACAGGCATGTTCACGATTAACTGCATGGGTGAAGGCTCGACCAAGGATGAAGTTTTTCTATCCCAGCCAGCACCCTCAAGGAACATGGAGCGAATATAAACTCCCTCCTGAGGTTGTAGGAAAAGGAAAGTCAATCATTTTTGTCAACAGGAAAATATACTTTGAATTTAAATCATAACTCACATGCGGTCCAGCAACAATTATATTTTCTTCCATTTGAAGCACAGTGAATTCCCAACAAAGTGTATCAATGGACACTGTTAAAGATCTTGCTGAAGTCTGTTGTAGGAAAGATACAAAAATTAGTTCCAATTAAAGAAAAAAACAGAATGCAATGTCAACAATTGCCCTGTGCAAAAGTGACTGATGAAAAAATAAAAAATAAACGTCACCTGTAAGACTGCTGTGAGAAAGCCTGTCGGGAAAGTGAAAGCCGCAAGCCAAAATAATACTGGGGGATGAGTAGTTTCAGCCCAATGTGAAAAGTGCTCCACCCTTAAAATTAAGTCTCTGGTCCAAGATCCCAGTGGCATCATTGAAGAATAAGCTGTTCAAAAAGAACAAAAAACACCATGCCACAAACTAATGTCACACCGAAGTATAAGAAAATACAACCGATGGCCCACCTCTAAGCCATGAGGAAGGGACTCTCCCTTCATAGATGCAATCAAGTATTTCCTCCAATTGTGATGACATCACAACTTCTCCACGGATTGCTTTCTGCAATTCTCTTAATGAATCTATGATAACAACAAGGAGGCTGTTGTACCTTGTTATCTAGAAGTTAAAAATAGAATTAAAAAACAATGTAAAGAATAATGCAAACTAAAACAACTTTTTCCTTCCACAAATAAGAATTTACAACAATTAAAACTGAAGGATGTACCTCCTGAAGGAGAATAACATCAAGAGGGGTTTTAGAAGCTCCAATCAAATTTTCCGTTCTCATGTAGTCTATTGGCTCAGGTATTCTGACTAAAACGTCGGCAGCTAACTGGGACACCTGCAAGTTTTTAGAACACAAATTTGTTAAAAAATGATGGAACAGAAATAAGGTTGTTTTTACTTTTATTTATAATTCATACCCTGTCTTCTTTCTTTTCTCCTTCTTTTCCAGATGATGCCGATGATTGAATAGATGAAAGTGTCTCAGTTAGAATTCGGGTTTCAGAAATGAGAGCAGTTATGTCGGCATTTGGATGTTGTCCAAATGCCTGGGGCAAATCTACAGCTGGTAACAATGTAATGTAATCGCGATAAGAAGCCAAGGACCCGTCTCTTGGAACGTAGTATGCAGATAAAGATGACAGGCTACAAAGAAAAATTCAAAGTTATAAAAGATCACACCCCACACACACCCCACTTCATCATAACACATACAAATACACACCGGAAATAAGCGACGTCCAATGTGTCATCTGAGAAGAATTGGGAGATGTAGGTGTGCAGAAGACGGCGATCCCAATCATCAGTGACATGCCCACCATAACAGACCCCAGCAATCAAATATTTCAAAGCATCCCAAGGAGTTTCTTCATACTCATCAAGGTAGAGTGTCAAGAGGTTTCCTGAGACCTTAGTTTTAACAGAAAGCAATTTAATTAACAGCCTGCTTGCTCAAACTAATAAAGAAAAAGTTTTTATTTCTTTTGCAAAATGGAGAATTGTGTTTTTTTTCTTCAGCTTTAGAAAGAAATGATTAAGGAATTCACTCACCTCAAAGTCTGAGTCATTGAAGCTGTAAATAATATTCCAGCCCAGCTGTTGAAACTTCTTTCTTTCAATGAGAATGGAGTGGAAGAAGCATAACGCAAAAAGTAATTTCTTGTACTTCACTGCATTGGTGCAAGCAGTGAAGCTGGCATCTGTCATGGCATGGTACAAACGCTTCAAGTTTGCTCTCAGGCCCTGGAACATAGAACCAAACCCTGTTAAGCAAACATTTGTTGTAAGTTTTCTCTTTGCAAAGATACAATTGGGTACCTTTGGTGGTTCTGTGGTCATTTTCAGACCAGCTTGCAAAATGGGAATGGGAAAATCAGGGGTGGGACTAGAGCTCAGCCAGAGCCTGGGATAAGAGTAACAACAAATGCGAGGAAAAAAAATAAGATGGCATCTACATGTTAGAGAAAATGTTACATTACGCAAACAACAAAGAAATACCTAAAGCGAGGATGCACATTCTGCGACTGCAAATTTTCTATCATTTTGTCCAGGCTAGGCATCCAACTTAAGGAAAGATGACAGTTGGCCAGAAAGACCCAATCACCATCACGAATACCTTTTTCCATAAGTCTGAAAAGAGATAACCAGCAAAATTAGAGGTGCAATACTTGGTACTGGTATTTGGGTTGCATTCCAAACACACATACTTTGTAGCAATAGGAGCCTGTCCCTGACCAAGTGATAAAGATTGGAAATGATTCATCATTTCAGTGCTTTCTGCCAGTTGCAATAACGCTGCAGTAGGATCCACTCCCGGAGATAAAACGAATATCAACGGGGCTTGGGGACGCGAGTCTTCAAAAACAGCACGGATGTCAAGTACTGGAGGATCGACAAATTTCGGCCCAAGGGTATTTACTATGAATGAGGAGACACAGAACGTCACTCTGTCTGGTCTCAAGGCTCGTACGATAAGAATTCTTTGGAATTCAGTACATTGCTCTTGCCATTCACCTAAAGCAGAAAAGGTTTAGGTAAAATTGAAATTGGGGTGATGAAAAGGAAATGGATTTAAAAAAGAATCAAATAACAATCACCTATTAGAGCATTATTTTCAGGATCTTGGATTGTGTACCAAGAATGCCAATCACGATTAAATTGCTCAAATGATGTAACTAGCCCATGGAAACCAGGAAGTTTGTCTAACTCAGTGACATTGTCCCAACAGACAGGATCCAGCCAAACTGTCAATATGAAAAAATAAAAAAGTAAGCAGGGTAAAGATATAGACTTTAAAATTGTAGTTGATCAAAATGATTCACTGACCACATGGATTGTCCGGTTGTGTAGCTCTGTCCAAGACCACTCCACCTTTCAGGAAATAGTTGTACTCCACAAGACTCATTTTCATCTGAGCTTCCAGAATTTTGACACACATGTAGAAGGCAAAGAGCAGCTTATGTTTTTCAAAAAGAGCTCTGCATGTGTTCCTACACAATTTAGAGAGATAAGACTTAGACTAGTTAGTGATCATTAGGAATACGCCAGTAACAACAAAGCTAGAACAACGTCATAAAGAAATGATCGTGGTGGCATTGTCATGAAACAGTCACTAGTCGTTCCAGCTGAGTTATAACGATTCGTCCAGCTAGATAATTTCTATGTGTCATCTGAAAGACTTCTAGGTACTCACTTGAAGAATGCATGAGTATGATAGTCATTCAAATAAACAATCCTATCATCCCTCAAACTACTCTTAGGACTCTTCTCAGTAGATAAGGTAAACAACTGAATGTAAGATTCCAGAGAAAACTGATACATTGGATCAATACGGCTGAGATCATTGAGCACAAAGAACAGAATAGAAGCTCTCTGAGCACACAGACGATAAGCCTGAACAAATTGGAATGCAAAAATTAATGAAATGAAAGTTTCCCAGTAAAACAGGCTAGTGAAACAAAGATACTTACCTCTCTGGCTTGATCAATTTCAACTTCTGTAGCCCTAGAAATTTCTAGTGATTCTTTGACTGATGTTGAAGTTAATTTGGATATTTTTAATGTTCTGAATAATTCTTCGTTGTCTAGTAATGGACCTTCACTTTCATTCAACAAGCGCAGAAGCTCATCTTCTAAAGACTTCAGAGTCTTATTGCCCTCAGATATTGTTAGCATTAATTGATCCTTTTGTTCCTCCAATTCTGGTTTTTCCTTTCGTACCACTATTCCTAAGAGTTGGGCCTCAAGGCCTGGAATCAGAATCAAGTAAAATAGAAGTAAAATTTGCAATAAAATAAAGAGCAAAGTTAAAATAAATAACAGACAAACAGGTTTATCACCTTCTTCTTTGATAGCACAATTTACAATTGTTGTCTTGGTTGATACTTCTGGAGCATAATGGGGATTTGGAAGTTTTGTTGTCATGAAAAGTTTAAAGCTTGGATGGTAATGTACCCAATGATCCCCCATCCTGAGCTGAAGCTCATTTCCTGAATCAAATAAATAAAATTATTTGGGAAGAGAAAGGAAAGGATGATTTGGAAAGTAGGAGAGATTACAGTCAATATACACTTACCATTTTGGATCAAAGCCTTTGAAAGAATTGGCTCAATAGCTGGATCAAGAGATTCCAAAACATTTTGCAACAGAACAGGCTCTCCCATCTCTATCGCTTTTTCAATTTCTTGTAGAAAGTTTGGCTGCCCAGAATCAAGTACATGTAATCCCTGAGAAGAAAAAGCATTAAGTCTCAAAACTGGGAAAAAAAGGGTGAAAAAAAAAAGATTTTTAAACGAATCTGTACGTAACTAAGGGTCTTACATTAGAACCTTCTAAATTTTTTATCCAGCGCCAGGCTTGGCACTGCGGATCAATAATGAGGGGCCATCGATTGGCCCGGGTGATAATGACACCATTTTCAGTGCTGAACAAATCAGTGGGCAAGCCCTGCAGGTTCCATTCTCGTACAGTTGTTTTGTCTGTCAGAAATCCAACCAACGTCCAATCGGGTGACATGGGCACATTTTCATCCAACATCTGTCAAAAATATGGGTATGATAATAACAAAAATCCTGACACAATCCTGGGTGCTACAAATCAAACGACCAATCACATCTTACAGATTTCTTCCAAATATCTGTCAATTCTTCTCTATAAACTGTGACAAATGGTCCTAAATAAGCTACACTTGCTATGGCAATCAAAACATCTCCAGGTAGTAAGTCAAACTGATAATCTAAAGTTGTCACAGTATTAGTCCAACGATCTCTCTCATCTGCTAAACCATCAACCAAGTCTTTAGCACGTGCCAATTTCATCTCCAACAATGATGCCTAGAGAAGGACAAACAGAGCAAGAACAAAACATAACAACAGACATGAAACTCAGATAATTAATTATCTTACTTTTTCTTGGTGATTACCTTTTCCCTTAACTCCTCAGATTGTTTTAACTTCTCCTCATATTCAATCTGAAGCCTTTCTAAAGTTTCAGCTAACTCTTGAAGTTTTGCTTCAGCAGCTGCAAGCATTGCCTGTTTTTCTCGGAGTGATGCAAGGGCAGAATCTCGTTTTTCAATCTTAGGAGCAACAATTCTAGGAGAGAAATAAAGTGGTTTGTTCATAGAAAAGGTTTGACTAGTAAAGGAAGTGAAAAAAAGAGGTGGACAAAAAGGAAAGGACTTGTGACTCTCTCACCTGTATACTTTAGCGTACTTCTCAATTGCTCGAACCCACATACACAAACTTTTAGCAGCTGTAGAAACAGAGCCAACAGATTCTGGCTCAAACTCCTCTCGAGAAGTATATGTACCCACTTTTTTCAAAACTCTGTCTGATATATGATCTTTGTCAAAATCTCTCAACTAAAGGGGAGAAGAATGTGATTAATTTTACTTATTCTGTTCACCAAACTACAGTGATGTAGTCACATAATGACTAGGTAGGAATAGTATGTGCTACACCAACCTTATTTAAAAATTCAACATCACCTAATTGACGCTTAGCCTCAGCCCAAGTTGGTTCGACTTTTTTAAGAATCATAACTGCCTCCATGACCATCTCAACTTTGTATGGTGGCTTTGGATAAGATTTTATTTCTGTGAGATCCTTTTTGTTAAGAGCGTCTAGGGCCTAAAATTTGAGAACCAGAGAAAAGCCAACAAAATTAACAGGTCAACACAATTTCAAAGTCACAAAAATTGACATGTTTATGTTACATACTCGCATGGCCTCCTCTAAGGCTGGCATAGCCTCGTCAAGATCTGCTTGGGCAACTGCAGCAAGCCTCTTACAAACAACCTCTTCTTCACCAATCTTTAATTTTTTTATTGCCACTTCTTTTTGTTGTAGATCAGCTTCCGTCTGCTGTTTGGATATTATTTTGAGATAGTCTTCACAAAGCTTCTGAGATTCCATCACTGGTGAGGACAAGCCAAAATCAGATTATCAAATGGACCTGAAGTAACGAAAGGTATTTAGTAGTCTTGGAACATACCTTGAGCTTGGGCAACCTCAAGTTCCACCGTCATAACTTGCACTTTTTCTCTAGTCTCATCAATTTTACTTAGCCCATTTCGTAATTTATTTGCAGAGTTTGACAGCTCTTCACGCTTTTCTTTCAGCATCCTAAAGGAGAACAGTAGTAAACTCCAAATAGGTAAAATTTTGATTGCTTACAAGCTGTGTTATAGTAGTGGTGAGTACACACGTTTTGTACCCTGAAACTAGTTCCAGGTAATTGGTAGGAGTAACATAATTACACCTCTTCATCTCGAGCAACATTTTCTTTGAATAGTTGGATACAGAGCTGTGGACTGTAGAAAATATGGAGGACAAAGCTGCTCTCATTTTGTCCTGTGCACAGAATGAATTAGCATTCAACAGTTAAGTTAAGAAGACAATGCAATTAAAAATAAAAAAGTTTTGAAGTAAAATTATTACTAAAAATACCTGTGGATTTTCAAAAAGTGTGTCTTTCATTGTTTCTACCTAAGAAAAAGAACACAAAGCCAAAATTGGTACAAAAATTATTAAAAATTAAGGAGACTCAGCAATTGTTGAGAGCAATACATACCACTCTTTCAATGGGAGCTCCTGTGATTGAGACAAGTAGATCAACACCTTTCAGATACTTGTCAGCAACTTCAAGCAGTGCTTCTTGAGGCCATTCCACAAACCAGTCTATAGTAGTGCAGTTGATTAATGCTGGATACTGGCGAAGACGGTTCCTGAAAGCAAAATTGGTGAGAATGATTTATCATCTTTGAATATAAATATAGGGAGCATACTACAGAATATGAGAAAAATAAATTAAATTAAAAAAGTCACCTGAATGCCTCTCCGACCGGACTTAAGCATAGAACAACATGAAGATTTGCACGCACACGATCAATGAGAAAATTATATATTGATTCAGTTGATGGTGATATTTTTTCCCTGCGGATTGTGTCCTCAAGGCGTTTTTTAATCTGAAATTTAATTGAAGAATATCCTAGATGCGCTACAACAAAGCTCTAAAGTAGACAATGCTTGCCATTGAATTTTACCACAAAATATTATACCTCCTCAAATTCATCAGCCTTGTACAGATTTGGAACTTCTCCACTGCTGAGAATGTTATTGATGACTTCTACAAACCTTTCATCTGTAACCTGATATCAAAAAGGCAGTTGGAAGATTTTATGTCCTCAATCTGAATGAACAGTTACTAATCTTCAAATATGACTAACCTGTGTATCAGTGAAAAGGAAGCATGTTGGTTTGTCTTCCACTCCTGCCATACTGTAAAGCATTTTCATGTCTTCTTTGAATTCTTGAAGTCTATAGTACTTTGTAACCTCAATTCTAAAGACAGTTAGTTTGCACAGCAGAGTTGCAATTTTTGATAAGGACTGCCGTCCACTTCCACCTACAAAAAATATAAATTATGAAAACTGATAGTTAAAGAAAGGAAGTTATTCAAAATTTCTTATAGGTACGAAATACAAACCGACTCCCACAAGCAGCATATTTCCTCTTGGTTGAGTAAGGACACGAGCAATTCGAGTAACATGCTCAATGGCATCTTGAAATAGGACAAGATCAAGAGGAACAATGCCTGGCTTCATATTGTAATCGTCTAACAAGTCATTCAAAAATTTACGAAGTTCAGCCATATTATTCAAGTCTTCATAAATATTTTTTGTGCTACAGAATTCACCTGAAAAAATTAAAAATGCCACAGGAACAGAATTATTAACCATTTAAATGCAACATAATAGAACCTAGTAGAAATAATAATCCTACCAAAGACAGGACACTTCTTTGATGGACAAACACTGTGGAAGGTAATTTCAAAGTGCCTTCCTAATATTTCATTGATCTGGTCAGAAAACCATTCTTGGTCTCTAAAGAATCCAAGCAAAGTTTTAAAAGATCCAGCCGACTCAAAACAATACAAAAATCGAATATAGCATTTACTTACTGGGCATCAATCAAGCGGTCACTAAACACGCGGAAGCATTCATGAATCCACAATCTAAGTAAAGCTGTCTTGGTGTTCTGATAGTCTTTGTGGCTACGCAACAAACCTTGAAAGACCTGAAATAAAAAGAACAAAGAAAACTGTAAACTTCTAACTTTATAAAAAGTAAACAACAGTATTCAAATGATTTTTGTTGATACAATGTACCTTTGAAATATCCCTTAAATTAAAAAGGTAGTGCATTTTAGCAGGAGTTGGAAGCATTTTACGTGTAACACTATGGTACAGGTCCACTGTTGCCTGAGTAATATTTGGAGCTATGAGGAAAGGGGGGAGGGGGGGGAGGGAGAAAAAAGGGATTTGAACACAGCTTGCACAGTACACAGCAGAAAACAACATAGGCTAGTATATATCCACCTACCAATCTGTTTTAACTGTTCATCAAAATCTGTTAAATGTTGATTCAACATAGTGCCAAATATTCGAATGACAGCACTTTCAGAGGGGAAAGTCATGTTTATGATGCTAAACCGGCTTAGTAGCCGATTACTTATTGTGTTTCTTCCCCCACCGGGAGGACCCATGGCAGCCATAAGGAATATATCCTATAGGGAATTTCAACAGTTGGATTGAAAGGGTTCAAGAGCCAACAAAATTGTAGAGAAAAGTAAAATATACCAGGAACTAGAGGCAAAACTCTAGGGTGCTCTGCATTGAAAATCGCGTAAGTCAAATGACATAAAGGCGCATCACGAGCGCCACCAGGGTTGTGAAAACAATGGTTGGCTAGATGTATCAGATTTTTGCTATGCAAGTTAAGGCACAAGGGTACTCACTTTAACATACGTACGAACTTGTTTCATTCTATCATACCAAAATCCATAGTCAATCCATTGTCTTATGAGTTCTAGAGGAGGCTGAGCACCATATACTTCTTTGGCAGGCATGTTTAGATCATCCATAAATGTCAACATTGATTTTCCTGAAGGCCAAGAATCATTTTAAGAGGCCTATTTGGTAAAAAATTTTCATAGTTTCAAAGACCAAATATTATTACCTCCAGAAGGAACATATACTCCTTTAGTTCTTTTCTCTAAGCGGCTTTCTATCATATCTTGAACATTTTTAGAGGTGGTCTGATTGAAGATCCAATGTTTATTATTATAATTATTTCATTTTGCTGATTTGACCTAATATATTAAAATATAATTTTCTTACCTGAGCTGACATATTGATCACAAGCATGGACATTTTCTGGTTATCCATGCCCTCAAGTGCTGTTGAAGCAGTGGATGTTTTACCTGTGCCCACTGGTCCTACAAGAAGAGGCCGATATCCAGCTCTCAGAAGATGGGATATCACAAACTCATAGCGAATTGTATCCACGGTTGGGACAATAATTTTGAAAAAGGGAAGGCTGTAAAAATAAACTTATATAACGAACCAATGGACCAAACATGAAAAGACAAACTTATTTGATGGTTGAGAGAGTTGAACTAACAAGGAATTAAATTTCCAGCTATCAGATAGCTTGTCCTCCCAGTTTGCTAGAGAACGAGCTCTCACATCAACATAATATTCATAGATGGAGTCTTTAAGAGGGAAAACCCCCTCCATTTCCCGAACAAAATTATCCAGTTTCTTGCGACCAGATTCATCAACACCAGCACAGATAGACCACACCAAACTGAAATCATGAAATAGAGAAGGAACAAGATGATCACAAAAGACAAAAAAGGGAGAGGGAGGGCTGGAAATAAGCCAAAACACACCAAAATAAAAACCAAAACTTGGACATGGGAGCAAAGTTTTCTTCATCATTTGGATCTACACCATTTTCAGCAGTTGCCAGAATGGTAAGCAAGTTACAAAGTGTTGATATTGCACTGATCTCAGCAACTGGTATTGGCTCAATACAGTGCAGTTTCTTGAACTCAAGAACAGGGTTCACATAGTGTTCAAAATATTCTTTCATCTGAAAGAGACATATATTTTCTGGATGGCTACTCTGACTTCAAACCAGAAAAGCTGTCATCTTTAGGCTTACCTGAGAGGCAAAGTCTTTATTTTGACTCTCTAGCCACGAATCAACATAGGGTTTCCATCCAAAATCCTTATAATCATTGTAAACTATTCCACATCGGGACACCGTGGCAGGAGATGCCTCAGCTAGGTCCTCCACTTCAAAAAGTAAAGACACCTACAGAAAAAAAAGGATGCTGTAATACTTACTCTAAAAAGTATGTTAAGTAATTTTTAAAAAATATTAACCTGATCTGGCATAGTAATTCGCTCGCTATTTACTAAAGTTAAAACTTTGTTGTCATCCATTACACTATTCATGTTTTCAATCCAAACTGCATCAACAGGTCCATCAAATAAGACCCACTTTTCATCAGCTGTGGCAGCTAGAAAATTAATGATAAAAATAATACCAGAGCTTTCAAAAGCTTCAAAAGTGCACATAGAGAGAAATAAAAAATTGCAGAAACTTACATGCACAACTAGATCGCATGATGTTTGAAATTACACCATCCATCCATTCACTTGTGGCAAGATTGAACTCCCCGTAAAGTTCTGCCAAATTTAACGCCTTAGGATTAATAGGAAACTCCTGGGTGGGTACAGATTACTTGTTTTAATTTAAGGAAATTCATTCACAAGTTGGCACATGTGGGAAGCACTTGTGTTACCTCAATTTTGTTATAGTTTGCTTTTCCACTCAAGTTTAAACGGGTAAGAGCACCTTTCAACACTTTCCAAGTTGTTGATTTAGCTGCCCCAGTTTTTCCGACAAGCATAGCAGAATGACGAGAATTCTTGGTCTCAAACAGCTGAATGACTTTCCGCACAGCTATCTCAGTAACCTGGACATAACACATTGGCCCTAAGAATGGCTTATTTCAAAAATATAATGAAATATAAAACAATTTTGAAGTAAACAAAAAACCTGTAGTTTTTTATCTTCAAGTTCAGCTTTCACTTCTTGGGTGAATTCGTTGTAATCAATTTGAGGAGTATCGACAGCTGGGAATAGATCATTTAAAATACCCAAAAACAATGGTACATCATCTTTGGATAGTTTTGCCAGGTTCATATCTTTCATTGACAATAAGAGAACCTAGAAATATCAATGTTTTCAGAAAGGTGAAATTATTTTAGCTTGATCCAAACCTTGTCTTAAATATTTTACCTCCTCATCAGGCAAATGAGCATTAGTTCTTCTCTTTTTCCCTGCGTATCGGATGAGAGTCACAAGTCCCCTTAAGCCCCATTCATAATGATCTTGTTTACTTAGCTGTTGCTTTGAAAGAGAAAATAGCGTGTAGACCTTCTTGGCAAGAACCCTTGTATCTCTGAAGCCTTCAGCAAAGAGCATGATCTCTGCAATCATTGCACTATCAGGTACCATCATAGCTATGGGCCTGAACATTGACTTAAGGTTATCTGGTAGTTCAGTGCGACCAGCATAGCCTGAGAGAAAACATATTAAAAGACGACAAATATAATTATCTGACCAAATTATGGCTTAAAACAGATAAAAGCTAGGTACAGACCTGGATTCATTGTGATAAAGATTCCACAAGATTCTACCATACTGATCTCACTTCCTTCAAACACAAATCGCTTATTTTTACCAGCCAAGGCAGTTAACATAGAGAGTATTTGCTGGGCGACAACAGAAAGCACTTCAATATTAATGCGATTGAACTCATCAAAGCATCCCCATGCTCCAGTCTGTGATAAACCTGGTAAAAAGTATTGATGTGAAAACAAGCTTTAGTGCCATGGTTTGTATTAGAATTTAAGCTTAAAATTGAGATTTTCTAAAATAGATTACCAGAAAACATTTTTCCAATGCTTTTATAATCAAGGCCTTCTGAACAATTTATAACAATGACATAAAGACCCAATCCCTTCCCAAGATCTTTTACAGTTTCAGTTTTGCCTGTTCCGGCTGGACCTTTGGGACTTCCACCTCTATGAAGATGAAGAGCAGTTGTCAGGGTGATGTAACACCTGGAGTCGGATACGAGTTAATACAACATTGCAGTCAAATTTAAATTTAAATTTAAGTTTTAATTTACCTGTCTGTCAAAGGAGTGATAACAAGCCTTTCAGAATTGCCCAGGTACTCATAACCATACACAAAGAAAGTATTAGTTTGGCGGACAACACAATCATCACGCTCTTTGTCCCAATAGAACCGCAGCTGTTTCAACCAGTCAAATGCCTGAACATCTTGGCAACCTTAAAATATAGGAGATATATGATTAAAATCAAATTAAAGAAATGGTGAAAGCTCATTTCAATGATGAAAGAAATAGTCGTACCTGCTTTGTACATTTGGTCAATGACATCTCTTGCATGTATTTCTATTGTGACCATGCCAACAATTTTTAATCTCTGAATCTTTGTTAAGTTTCCCCGAATGGCTTCAGAGAACTTTGAAAGAACTTGATCCTATAGTTCAAATAAAATCAGAAATTTTCACTAAAGGTATAAGCGTTTAGTAAGCTCAAAAGAAAATGAGAAGAGCAACCGGAACCCTACGTACCATTTTCTTGCGAAGTTTCTTCAATGGTTTCTTACTTTCCAATATTTTGCAATGTGTTAAGGTTCGAGTGCAGCTCGATGTCCATTGTATCTACAACATCACCACCATCTTCAAGTTTAGAATTTTTGAGAGAAATCACATTTATTGAGCAACAGGAATGAACTTACCTGACTTGATGTTATGCACAATTGTCCTGGCCATTCTTTAATCCATTTATCTCGTTTGGTCAAATTTTTCCTGAGTGCATTTCTGCACTGCTTCAATTCCTCCCGCAATGTCCTAAACATTTCCTCCTCTAAAAGAAAATGATTGTGCAGATGAAAAGAAATTTTGTGTTGCAATTTTAAAATATATTTTAAAACTAATTTTTACAGAAGTACAAGCTTACCTACAGCACACAACCATATCTCCACTGACCCATCAAGAGCAACAGGAGATGAAAAAGGAATAAATTCACCATCAAGGGAAAACATTCCAAAACAATCCCATCTTTGATTTACCTAGGAAAATAAAAGTAAATATTTTTCGCTAGCAGCCGACATCATTAACTCTGTGAAACAAAGGACAGACTTACTCTGCCAATTTTCAACTTATTTATAGCACAAAACAACTTCTTTAAATGAGGCTGAATTAAATCTGGCTTCCTTGAATTGGCTAGAATTTCAAGTAAGTCTTCATTAGATATGAAATAGAATCTAGGAAATATGTGCCGCTTAGTTTCCAGGTACTTTTCAAGAGCCCGCTGGATATACTCAAATTTAGAATTAATTTGATTTAATTTATCCAACAACCCTGGAAATAAAGTTTATTTTTAACAAATAGAATTCTTTTTTAAACAAATGAACAATGCTTCACATTCACTAACCAGGATGATGAGTAGCTTTCTTGGCATTGGTGTCGCTGTGCATTAATCCAGTGATTTCCATCCACAGCTCAGACAATTGATTAAAATCTTCAGTTTCTGTGGGCAGTTGCTTCCTAATGTCTTCACCCGTGAAAATATTCTACAATGGCATAAACATTGATGACAGTTTCAGTTAAAAACATGTCAATAATATAAGGACAGGCAAGAATTTACTCAAAAAACCAAAGCCTGCTTCCAATCTTACCTCTAAGTACAGCCATTGGCGCTGAACAGTGAGAGTTGTTTCTAATACCTCTAAAATAAGACTGAGAGCTTTCTCCCAAAAATCCACTTTCTCGACAAAGGGCTCAACATATCTAAAAGGAATTTAAAATCCATTAACTAAACGTGAAATATAGATGGTTCATAGAAAAAAGAACTAGGACCAGGTATCACAAACTTGGATGATTTCATTGATGACAAGCCAACTTGGTGTTCCTCTAAAGCCTGAAATACATTGTCCACAGCTTTCAAGGAATAGACCCCTTTCATTCTCATGTGAGCATGCATTTCTAAGTTAGTTTCTTTCCAAATTTGACTGATTTTTTTCAGTTGCTGAAGAAGAGATAAGAATTGTAATGGCAGTCGAAAAAATAAATGCACCTGATGTATGAGATACACATACTTCTTCAATGTTAAGCTCCATTGTAGCAGCATAAGAGATGATGTTAATTGTTTCAGAGAAGGTCTGCATTTCCATATCAATAATTTTTTCTAAGGTAAAGTCAGCAGATTCCTGATCAAAGTCTCTGAAAAGATACATTAATTAGTTTGATTCAGGTTTCATCCAAGCGGTTGATGAACCTTAGGTCACCAACCTGCCAGTTGCCATTTTAATCCTATTCCAATGGCGCTGTCTCATCGCTGGATTCTTAAGATCTGTGAGCAAAGGCAATGTTTTGCGGAAAGTCTCAATCCTATTACGTGTGTGAGAAATTATTTCCCATTCAATGTCTTTTAATTCCCGCTGCACCACGAGCAATTGACGGAGGAGCATTTGAGCTGTGCCATCCATCTCATCAGACTGCATTTCCAAAAACATTGCATGTTTGTAAGAATCCCAAGCCTTGTCCCATCTGTCAGTGATTATCCAGATAACTTCCAAGGCTAAAAGATCCTGAAATAAATATTGATTTCTAATCATTGCAAAGCCAAGTTCATGGAAAATCATCACCTCTGACAGATACATTACCTTATTCAGCTTGTCAAGATCTACGCTATCTGGGTAGGTTATATGAAAAATAGCCAAATCTGCTCGAATCTGAGCCTCATCCTTTTTTAGAGTTTCTAACATACCCTTTGTATTCTTTATGTATGCAAGAGCATCTGCAATAATGAATCACAGAAATTGGTACGAATAACTTGAGATGATTAGTGATCGGCAGGATGTAAAAGAAGCATACCAAGAGCCTTCCACTTGGAGGTGTAGGGACCATTGTCTACAAAGTCTAAGTACAATTCATGGATTCTGTACTTTAGATCATCAGCATCCTTGAGCAGTCCCTTCTGGAATACATCCTAAAGCACAAGGGAACCAGTTGAAGTCCAGCCTACCACACAAAAACTAGATTTCAATTCAGTCGCAACACAGTTTGAGAAAGCTTGCCCACTGAAATATCATGAAGACTGGGATGCAAATGGAATAAAAGGTACCGAAAAGGCAAGCAGTGGTTACTTCATGACCGAGTATTTGGATGAAGAGGCGCAGAAAGATGGGCGGAGAGCAAGAGGAAAGAAGGCGGGTGAAGAGGAAAAGTAGAAAAGATGTAAGCCGATGAGAGGAGAGACAAGCATGACCAAGCCAGCCCAATTTTATTTAGAGTAGATAAAGTTTAATAAATGAATGCAAATACAAATGTTGTGTGAAAAAATGAATCACATGTTAAAAAATTATCATAGACAGACAAAACATGTCAAAGAGATAAAACAAACATACAGTATAAGAAGAGTAAAACAATGCAAACAGCAAAAAAGTAAATCAAACGTAAAGTAAAAATGCCCTTTACCAGCAAGAAATAATTTTCTCATGGGGTTGTATAAAGAATGAAATTACAAGCAACAATACACACATACAGTAAAAGACTAAATCTGGCTAAAAATTAAGCTTAATGGAGAAATGAAGGAACATGATACAAGTCTTAATATGGAATGCTTCTTGAATTTCAGACCCAGCAGGTAGTTACTCAAGCATGAAGGTTTGAAATGGAAGAGTCTTACGACGGTCCAGCTTTACCTTTGATGTTGCCAGCATTTCCTCTCCTGATTTCAGAAGATCTAGATACCACTGCCAGCGTTGGTCTAAACCTTGCTCCAATTCCTGCATATCCTGAGGGATTTCAACGTCGTAATTCCCTAATGTCAAAACCAATACTTGGTTAGAAACAGCACTGACATAAAAGTTAAAAACACACTTTAAGAAAGTAATACTCACTCAAAACAGCCATTTGACCTCTTATAATAGGAAATTCTTTTTCCTTCACTGGAACTTCAGAAACAAGTCGATCATATAAAGCCAGTGATTCCTGCAGATCTTTTAAATTTTTGGGCTCTTCATTTATTCTAAAAGAAGAACAGAGTGAAAACGCATGAGGAAAATCATTCAAATGACGAAAAAGTCCACCATGGTATCTGGACACTCACTTCGATCCATTTTCAGATGTGTACTTGTAAATGTTTGTTATTTTTTCATTGGCTAGTTTCCTCAACAATGTAGAAACCAAAGTGCTAAACATTGTACAATGCTCACTGATAGCTTGCTTTAATGCTGATGAGTTTATGAGCAAGAAATGGACCTGGGAGGTGGTCTCAAGCAACTGGACATTTTCTGCTGTAGCTGAATATCTGCTCAGAAAAAAAAATCAATTTAATCAAATTAATATTTTGCTTTCTTTTAAATTATGTCAGTAGGTTAACAGCCACAACAACCATCTTCAAACTCACTTTGCAATAGCTAAATCGAATTCGCTGATAGGGGCATTCATTTTTTCATAGCTGGCAATAAATTGATCCTTGTTTACTTCCCACATGTCTCTAAATGGTTCCCACCGAGTCAAATGCTCTTTCAGTTGTTCAACAGTAGTTGTCATTTCTATTAGATAGAATGGAAGACAGATTATACACACTTGAAAGTGTATCAAATGATTAACACATGAGTAACTCACCCTGGTTCAAGCTAGCTTGGAGTTTCTTGCATTCCTCATCATTCTCAATTACTTGATAAAATGATGGATGGACAACTTTGGTATTAAACCTCTCCCAGAGTCTTGGTACTCCCTTTAAGCTGTCCAAAAAACTTCTAAGCACTCTTGAAACCATGGTCCCTACTTCCAAAAGGGTAGGCTCAAATGTAATCTACACAGAAACAGAAGAAAATACCATAAAACTAACTGCAGTAATAATTAGAAAAGACATCATGTAGTCCCCTCACCTGATTATTTAGTAGATCTGTTCGTAAAACTATCAATGGACTTGGACCAGTTGTGCCATCGCCATGAAGAACTTCATACATGACTTGTAAAGAATTCTTGAAGCAAAGTCGAAGAGCTTCTTCTACTAGAAGATCCATTTTAGAGACAAACCTCGCCCAGTGGTCCATCATCTGTAAGATTCAAGGAGGATTTATTCATTTCTTTGCTAAAGGTTGAACAGCGCAACAGCAACATCTACTGCCCAGAGGCTTAACATGTTGTGTAGTCACAATGTTACTTACATTATTCATATGGTCTTCAAACTTATCTGACACAAACCAAAGATAATCAATTATATCTTTATAATATTGCACTATTTTAATAGTGACCTCTTTTCTGAAACACAAGAATGTAAAGGATTTTAAAGCCTGTTTCACACCAGAAAGAGAGTCAAATTCAAATTGTGTTTTTCTTGGTCTGGGAATAAGAGTTTCCACACCATAGATAAAACTATGACTTGCCTGTATTCATACATGAGCTTGTCAAGATTTGCCAATTCATATGCTGAAGTAGGAGGTATCTTGACAAGAGGAGAATCACATATTTGCTCACATAGAAGAACAATCTCTTGCACAGAACTTTTGTAATCATCTATTACATCTTGAACCTAAGAACAAACACAAAATTTTAACCCAATTAGACTCTAACAAATTAGTTTTTATTTCACCTCAAAAATTTGATTAATAAAGTCCATTACCATGCTTGTGAAGCTGAGACATTCTACAATATAGATGTCAGCAATATCTGTGTCCCAGGTATATCGCTGCAAACCTGGATTTATCTTTTTATCACAGCCTTTGATCAGCTCACGAAAAAGAAGGCGCTCTTCATCAGAAAGAGCTGCAAATATTTCCAAATTTTCAGTAAATATAATTTTTGCTATGGTAGTTTCTGATACACAGTTAAATAACACATACATGAAATTATGCGATTATAGTCCAAGGCAACTGTGAGAACACTTTCATACAGGAAACTTAAACTTTTCCAGCGGTTTGCCAAGTGTTGAACAGATGTAGGGACAGACATACTCATATCTGTCCAGTACCAAGCCTCTTGAACAATGCTTTGTATTCGTCTGAAAAATAATTAACCCTTAAAATAAAAACGTCACAAAAAATAACTTGCATAATTAAAAAAAAAAAAAAAAAAAAAGTGCACAATTAATTGAACTAAAAGCTTGCAGAAGATATGTATTGAAATTTATTTAACTTGATTCTCTGTACCTATCAAAGTTAGGCTCCAATAATCCCGGTCTGGAGGTGCTGGGAACCAACAGCTTACGATTCAAAAGTTTGGACACATCATCATCCAAGGCAACCAGCCACCTTCGATGTAGATCCTTTACATATTCATCAACAGATACTGAGATCTTTTTATACTGAGATCGTACTTCTTCGCCTTTCCCAGAAAGGAGCATCCACTCGGCATCATTGAGTCTCTGCAAGAAAATGAAAGTATAATAAAATGTTTGCTTCAGACAAAAGTTAAGTACTAACATAATAACATTACATCAATTATTTTGAGCAGTTCCCTTTTCTTCATGAGGGCCATCATTGCTCTCCCTGAGTAGCTGGCCATTACTACGGGGTGCTTTTCTTTTTCAGAAACTAACATAGTCTTCATTTTGAGCAAAGCATTGCTAAATGAGTCATACACCTGGAATGAAAAACATTTTATCTTTAGTACTGATTTTTCAAGGAGAAAATGCATATAAAATTATCTTCTGGGAATTGATCTTACTTGGTATGTTTTCTTCTCAAACAGGTCCTTAAGATTTGGCCTCTTGGCATATTGATATGTGGCCCAAAGGACATCTATTCCTTCTTCTACATTCCTAACATTTTCAAATGCAGCAGCGACTAGGTTGTCTACGATAATCTCAATGTCTCTGACTCTTTTCCGGAACCTTAGGAAATTTTAAAGGCAATTAACACTACACTTTTTACCTGAACCTCAAAAGAGTTATCCTAATAGGCAGTACATACCTAAATATACTGTCGTACCACGTAGACGCTTGGACATCCAAAATTGTATGTTGCACATCTTTAATGTCTTGCAAAGCACTAAAGAAATTTTGTTCAATTTTGTCACAAATTCTTTCAAATTCAGGGCCTCGTGTACCAAAAAATTGAGGCTTTGCTATTTCTTCTGTCTCATCAACCCTAAATAACAGGCATTAAACCAAGTTTGTAAAGTAGAATAAAGGAGTATACAGCGACTAACTGCATACTTTCTTACCTTCCGAAAACTATCATGGCTTCACAAACATCAATCATATCTCTGCATCTTTGAACAAAGGAGTCCACGTGGTTGAAAATAGTAGGGCGGTCCAAATCCCAAGACATTTTCTTTAGCCTTAAATGAGCACCGGCTATCTGAAATATTAGTACAGTTAAATTTCCACAAACTCAGGATGGGGGCTCAATAATTTCCACAATGTTCTACATACCTTGTCATAGAGCATCTTATATTGCTCACAACAAGTAATACAATTATTTAATGTCTTTATTCCAGAGTGTGTGTGACCACCATGTAAGATATCATCCAAATCAACAGTTGACCCACACTGAAGTATTATTTGATTACTAAGTGCCCTGCATATTACAGTCAAACGGGATCTAGCGGAATTAAAATATAAAAATATTATATTCTTTGCTTTTATTTTTGCAACAAAATTTGTGATTTGTGTGAAAGGGAGCAAGCTGCACAAAACTTACGTGGTATTGTAGTAAGGTGAATTATTCCATATTACACGAAAAAGGCTTAGAATGTCAGGGATCCGTTCAGGGATTTCAGAAACTGACTGAACATCTTCAAGCTGGTTGCAAGGCTCCATCAGAAGATGTAAATACTCAACATTTGATTTTGCTTCAAAGAGAGCTTCCTAATAGAAGTTTGAGAATCACAAAATTACTTTGGGAAGGATCAGTGACCTTAAGAGAAAAATATTACACCAGACCTTTATTTCATCCTGAAGTTGGTAGAAATTACTAATATAGGCAGACTGAGAAGCATTTAGGATGTTGCAAATATGTTTCAAATCCTTATTTTCCAGTTGGTGCTGCAAGCCTCTTAAATTTTCATCTAAAATTGAGACAAGTGAGTTTTACTCTTACTGCTTTTAAATGTCAAGACAGCACACAAAAAATAACTCACATCTGTAAGCCCAAAATGAAAATTCATCCTTTGGGCAAAGGAGCTCATTGATAGTTGACTGGTCTTTGTCTCCCAAAGCAACTCGAATTTGCTTCATCCAGTGAACCACAACTCCTAGGGAAAAGAATAGTAATTTAGCAATCATTGTGTTATCATTGGGGCAAGGGGACAATAAATTCGCATTTTCATTTACCTTCTAATCGCTTAATAAGCTCCTTGTCATGTTGGGCCTCGTCAACATCAACATTTAGACCTTCCTTAGGCACATATATAACAGTAACAGCTAACATTTTATGTCTTAAATCAGTCAAATTTCCGAGGAAACTGTGCATTTGGGAGCAGAAGTCACTTTTTACACCTGAAGATATATGTTTAGGAAAACTGCATGAAGCAACACATAAAATAAAGGACGATTTCAATTTAAGCAATGATCAAATGCTAACTGGAGGATACTATCAGGCCATGATGTGGCATTGAAAAAAACAGGGGCATAAACGTTTTCTAAAACAGCTAACAGGGAACCCTCAACTGTTGTGTCAAGAGTACCAAACATGACAATGTCATGGAAATTTTCAACAGACACAATCTTGTCAGCATCCTGCAACAAAAAACAGCAATGGATATTTGAAGCTATCAAAGTACGTATGTTCTGTCTAGATTTTCACCTTGATGAAGTAAGTCAAATCACGAATAGGTGACATAGGAATAGTAAGTGTTGCTTCCAGTTTTAGATCATTGAAATAAATACTAAGAACTTCGGTTCCAGGTAGTTCAAAGTACTCTCGTATGACAGTGTAGACTTCATCAGTCCAATCTTCTTCCTCCAGATCAAAAAGCGTTGTGCAGCGCTTTATTTTTTTTGTCTGAAATAAAAATTCTATGATACAAGCGTAGGGAAACCCAAAAGGCCCAAAAGAAGGCCTACACTATTTTAACAATGACAAGTTTTTAAAAGATTGAAAGGATGTACCCATAACAATCTTACCAAAGTTTCAATGTCCTGCTCGCTGTACTGATTGAGTTCTATAGTGGGAGGAGCGGCAAGAACTTCCTTGTCCTCGGCACTTTCACCGTCTTCCCGCAAAGCACTACCTGCAGCATCAAAAGACAAGAAACATGCATGAACAGCACAGCTCGGGTTTAGAGTGAAGAAAATCAGAGTCGTCTTTGGAAGTTCAATCCACAGTTAAGAATTTTCATCTGGCAAGAAATAATCTTTCTGGTAGGCAGGCGAGCACAAAACGACCCAAAAATACCAAGTCACGCCCATGTCTGTCTTTCAGACGTGAAAATAGCCTTGGAAAGAAAAGTCAGTAAAAGCTTGGTCCTTTACATAACAAAGTTAATCAAAAAGAGAGGCATTGGCACGAGTTTTACTTATTTTCGACCAGGCTGGGAGGCTGGCACCGGCTTACCCTTTTCAGAGCTTGTCACCGTTTTCTCCTCGTCGTCATAATCGGAACGAGCCGTGGGGGTCTCGGCGCCCTGCGGACCTTCCATCTTCAGACTTGTTCACAACGAGCAAATCACAGTTTTACCTCTGTCAAGCATTAAATCGTCCTCACACAACCGTCAACAACACACTTGTTGTTGAAGTTGTTGTTGCCAGTCTAGCCTCGAAGCGACCCACGACCGTTGCTAGGCGACCGAGAGCGCGCCGAGATTCAAACATGCCCGACAGCGACGACAGCGAGCGGCATGGATGAGCATGGAAAGACGCAAGAGAGAAAGAAGCCCGACTTTCAGAACAACAAGAAGAAACAGCACAGCAGAACTCGACCTCTCCGGGGTTTTGTCAGGATTTTTAGTCGGGAATGACCGCACGTCACCATTCAGTTTGTGATTTTCAGTGCCCATTTTGGGCTTTTGTTTTCCCTTCTATCAGCCTGGCGTTCCCCTGCTATTCGTTCACTCTGTTCTTAGAAAAGTCTCAGTCCGGCCGTGGTCTAGACCGTGGTCTAGACCGTGGTCCGGCTCAGGGCTTTATCTCGCTGCAGCAGACTGAGTCCGAGCACAGCCTCTCTCGCACTCATGGGTGCGAGAGAAATAGACCGACGAGAGCAGTGCTCGGAATCAGTCTGCGGCAAACCATGAGCAAACCGTCATGCGTGGGAACAAATGCGGTATGTCCAGCACCGGCCAGCACCGATGTCCATCCACCCCGAGCAATTCCCGAGTCGACTTCTCGTTTAGGCGCGAAAGGGACAACAGTGTGACGAAAACGAGTCCCGAAATCAGTCTGTTGAGTGCAAACAGCGCGAACGGAGCAAAGACCACAGGCAACCCCTCCGACTCGAACACCAGAGGGCTGCCTACCTGCCGGGCGCTCAACAGCTCCCGACACCAGTTTACTCTCGACTCTAGTGCTCCAGTAGCAGCACTCCAGAACTCTCGTGCTCCAGTGTTTCAGAACTCCTGCACTCTAGCTCTTGCACTCTAGTTCTCCAGTTCCCCATACTTCAGTAGTCCAGTGCGACAGGCCCCCGTGTGTGCCGTAGAACCGCGGCGTCTCGGTTGCCTGGGCCCGGTGAGCCGGATTGCGTGACGGGCGGTTCGACGGCGCCCAGCCCGCCTGACAGCCTGACAACCGGCGCAGACAGACAGACAACAGACCACGACAGCCCGACAGAAGACGCGACCAAGACGATTGCCGACAACGATTTAGGACAAAGTGACAGACGGACAGACTCGAAAATGACAGATTGCAGACAGACAGACACAGTGACAACAGTGACGACAGACGGCCGCTTCCGGGCGTTCCCCCAGCTGGGGGGCGTGGGTGGGAGGCCCCGGCGGGAGCGATGTTTGCCGGGCGCACGTTTGGGACCAAGTGGCAAAAGGCGCTGATTGGCGAAATCGCGAAACGGCAGAAATTTCTGGAAACCACTCTCGCGGAATCCGGCATGATGACGCAAATCTGCGAATTTGGAAAGTTGAAATGGGTACCCTTCGTTAAGTACGTAAATAGTTAAAGCCGCGACTTTGCCGCGGCCAGAAGGCCCCGCGGTGGAAAGGCCCGTGGCTCGCGGCCGAAGGCCCCGCGCTTCGCGCGCGCGCGAGGCCCGGGCGCGATCGCGCCCCCGCGGCCCGGGCCAGTCCGGGCCTGCACTCTAGCTCTTGCACTCTAGTTCTCCAGTTCCCCATACTTCAGTAGTCCAGTGCGACAGGCCCCCGTGTGTGGGCCGTGAGAACCGCGGCGCCCTCGGTGTGCCTGTGCACCTCGGTGACGCCGATTGCGTGACGGCGGAGTTCGACGGCGCCGCCCAGCCCGCCTGACAGCCTGACAACGCGGCGCAGACAGACAGACAGACAGACAGACAGACAGGACAGACAGACAGACAGACAGACAGACAGACAGACAGACAGACAGATAGACAGATAGACAGACAGGACAGACAGACAGACAGACAGACAGACAGACAGACAGACAGACAGACAGACAGACAGACAGACAGACGGCCGCTTCCGGGCGCTGCCCCCGAGGACTGGAGGGGCGGGGTGGGGGTGGGCAGGCCCCGGGCGGGGTAGCGGTGGGGGCGGGGCGCCGTGGGGCTCGGGCCGCGAGGGCCGGGCGGCCAGTGCTCGCGCAGCTTGCGCCGTGGAGAGCCAGTGTGGCGCGCTTGCGCGTAGTCTGGGCGTAGTGGGGCGTAGTGGGGCGTAGTGCGGCGTAGTGCGGCGTAGTGCGGCGTGGACACTGTTGTGCCCGGGCCGAAAGCCGCGCCGGCTCCGCGCCTCCGCGCTCCGCGTCCCGCTCGCGCTGGAGAGAGGACCGCGTCGACGGGCCCCGTCCGCGCTGCACGCCGCCAGCAGCCAGCACGCCAGCGCACCCCGAGGAGGAGGGACTTGTCGTCGAGCAGGCTGCTGCGGCCGGGCCGCCCTCTAGGCCGCGGAACGACCGCGAACCGGCGACGCTGCCTGGGGCCTGCTAGGGCCTGCCTGGAGCCTGCCTGGAGCCTGCCAACCATACCAGCTGGAGCAGCGCGGAGCGCGCCGCGGAGTGCAGATGTAGCGGCGGCCGGGGACTGCTGCCGCACTGCCGGCAGAGGTGTGTGCGTGTGCGTGTGTGTGTGTGCGTGTGTGTGTGTGTCGCTTGTCTTGTTGCGCTTTGGAGTCAAACCGAATGGTCAGTATGGTCTAGTCCGTTCAAATGTGAGTGTCCACCGTCATTGTTGACGTGTGTTATGCGACACCGCCCTCACGAACCAGAGAGGAGGAGGGCGGAGCTCCGAAGGGCCCGGCAATCGTGTGGCGGAATGAGGCTTAGGACTCGGCCAGCGTACGCTGGGGTACGCCACTGTCGGCCACTGTTTACCATCGCGGTCCACGCTGGAAATGCCGCCAAACGCGGAAAGGGGTTCGTTCCGTTTTTGGCGGTTGGGTGCTTCCCCTTTTTGCCGGGCCCGGGAAGGGGGGTCAGGGTTTGGGAAAAGGGTGCCCCCCTAATTTTGGGCGGGGGATCGCCCCCCCTAAAACCGGGGGAAAGGGAAAAATCAAAGGGGGGGCGGAAACCGGTGGGGGAAAGGGGTTAACTCCCCCAGGAGCGGGGACGCCGCGGCCCTTCCCCCTCCCCTTTAAAAGGGAAAAAATTTGTTTTATGGCGTTGGGGGGAATTAAGGGGGCCGGGGGGAAAAATGGGACCCCCCCTAATTTGGGGGGGGGCCCCCCCCGGACTAAGTAAAATCACCCGGGGGGCGGGAACCGTGGAAAAAACCCTCCCAAATAAAAGGGCAACCCGCGGGGTTCCCCCCTCCTTTTAAATTTTTGGAAAATTTAAATTTTAGGGTCAAACCCTTTAAGGCCGGGGAAAAATGGGCGGGATATTAAGGGGCCCCGAAAGGTTTTGCCGCCAAAATTGGAACCAGTGATTCAAATCACCAAAAAGAAATTTTTTGGGGGAAATTCTTTCATTTTTTGACAATTTTTGCGAGACCACTGCTCCAAACTATCAGCGGTCAAAGCCTTCCCGAGGGGGGGCCTGAAAGAGTAGGGTTTTTGGGAATAGTAAGGCGTCGAGGGAGGCCTTTGACCGCAACTAAATTGGATGCAGTGACCGCTCAAAGTCAGCAAAAACGATGATTTTTTGAAATTCTTTCACTTTTTGACCATTTTTGCGAGACCACTGCCCCCAAACTATCAGCGGTCAAAGCCTTCCCGAGGCGGGGCCTGAAAGAGTAGGGTCTTAAGAATAGTAAGGCGTCGAGGGAGGCCTTTGACCGCAACTAAATTGGATGCAGTGACCGCTCAAAGTCAGCAAAAACGATGATTTTTTGAAATTCTTTCACTTTTTGACCATTTTTGCGAGACCACTGCTCCTAAACTATCAGCGGTCAAAGCCTTCCCGAGGGGGGGCCCTGAAAGAGTAGGGTCTTAAGAATAGTAAGGCGTCGAGGGAGGCCTTTGACCGCAACTAAATTGGATGCAGTGACAGTTCAAAGTCAGCAAAAACGGTGATTTTCTGAAATTCATTCACTTTTTGACCATTTTTGCGAGACCACTGCTCCTAAACTATCAGCGGTCAAAGCCTTCCCGAGGCGGGGCATGAAAGAGTAGGGTCTTTAGGATAGTAAGGCGTCGAGGGAGGCCTTTGACCGCAACTAAATTGGATGCAGTGACCGCTCAAAGTCAGCAAAAACGATGATTTTTTGAAATTCTTTCACTTTTTGACCATTTTTGCGAGACCACTGCTCCTAAACTATCAGCGGTCATAGCCTTCCCGAGGCGGGGCCTGAAAGAGTAGGGTCTTAAGAATAGTAAGGCGTCGAGGGAGGCCTTTGACCGCAACTAAATTGGATGCAGTGACAGTTCAAAGTCAGCAAAAACGGTGATTTTCTGAAATTCATTCACTTTTTGACCATTTTTGCGAGACCACTGCTCCTAAACTATCAGCGGTCAAAGCCTTCCCGAGGCGGTGCATGAAAGAGTAGGGTCTTTTTAAGCACCTTTTTGGTGGGGGAGGGGGGTAATTAGGAATGTAGGATTTAAAATTGTTTGCCCCCCTGAGGAAATACACTTCCGGCGCCCCTGCCGTCAGCAGGCTGATTCAGAGCACTGCTCTGTCTCTCTCGCACTCATGGGACGTGACTCACTCACTCACTCACTCACTCACTCACTCACTCACTCACTCACTCACTCACTCACTCACTCACTCACTCACTCACTCACTCACTCACTCACTCACCCTCTCACTCTCCCTCACTCACTCTCCCTCACTCACTCTCCCTCTCACTCTCCCTCTCTCTCTCCCCCGCTCTCCCCCCTCCCGGTGATGTGCGATATCGGGCCGCGTGTATTCTTCGACCCTTCCTTGGCCGTGCCTTTACCCCAGACACCCACGTCATCGCATGACTGCCTCGGCCCGCCCCGCCCCGCCCCACCCCGCCCATCCCGCCGAGGTAAATCAATGGGACGCCGGGAAGGGACCTAAGGCAAGGGAGCGCCATCATGCCCGCGGCCCGCGCCACCCGGCACACCCGGCCCGGCCGAGCATATCGATAATACTGCGCTGTTGCTCTCGCGTCGTTTTTCTGTTTCGGCCACTATTTTCGCCGAGCCCTGTCGAGGTGGCTCTTTCAGCTCACGCCGGGAGCACGAAAGGAAGC